TACTGTCCACAAGTGGGGCATGCAAACCAATGCGCACACTGCAGCGGTTGAAGTGAGACGCCCGATTTCTGCGAGGCCGGCCCCTCGCAATGTTCGAGTGACTCAAGAGTTGCCCGCATACATCCAACTGCCTGTTCATCCTGGCTTACAAGAACCCTACGTCGCAAGACGGTCCGGAGGGCCTCCGTAGGACTAGGCACCTTCAACCGAAGCCTAAGGGCACGGGTGCTTTCATGCGTAATGTGCGTGGGGCTCTTGGCCAGAGCACGCAGAAACTTGGCATCGGCTGCCTCAAGCTTTTGGAGCACTACTTCATTAACTCCGATGGCGTGCACTCCATAAAGCATGGTGCTGCGCACGCAAGACAGGTAAAGCGTGAGGCGTCGTTTCAATGTAAGCTGTTGACTGTGCAGGAAACGCAAGAGTCTGGTACGCTGGGCCTGGGCAATGTGCAGTCGATGCTTACACGTCTGGACCTCCAGAGGGCCAAAAGACACTATAGTCCCAAGGTAGGTAAAAGAATTCAAGAGTGGTATTGCAAGTGGGTTCCCTGGCGTACCAGCCTCGATGCATTTACGGCCCTCTCTGACGACAGTGTGTGCCTTAATCCAGCGCTTAGCAAGACTGCCCTTCAGCCCTAGTGTGATTGATGACTTCAGCGGGTTAGCTTGCATACCACATTCAGCAAGGAGTTTGAACGTAGCTCGAAGATACCTACAGATGGTATCAAAGTCCGCTGGGCTGTGCACCTCATACCCTAAGTGGCTGTCGTCCGCAAACCAGGTGACGAAAGCGCGAACCCACTCCTCGGAGGTCCTCTGCATGAGCTCTGTCAGGAACCAACATGTGAACAGACTAAATAGCATGGGGCTGATTGCGCAGCCCTGCCTAACCCCACACTGAAGTCCGAAAGTCCCTGATCTACTGCCATGATCAACGCGGTAGCTACACTGATTGTGAATCTCCATGATAAGTCTTTGGAGCGGCTCGGAGACGCCGAATTGTAGGGTCCGCAACAGCGTCGGACGGTCCAACATATCAAAAGCACGGCTCAAGTCAATGCCTACCATAGCGCCTCCATAGCAGGTGCTTTCAGTCTGGCCGGCCCTACGCGCATGCACGCTGAGAGACCCTTGCTGCATCCTTTCGCGGGTACGCTTGCAGAAGTCAGAAACCCTACTGATACATTCATCAATGGACTTGCCTTTGCAATAAGCGTACTGCGGGAGGGCAGCGATGAGGGCTCCTATCTGTGCTTCAAGCTGACTACGAAGAATGCGCGCAACGATCTTAGAGGTGGGATCTTGGATGCCAAGTGGTCTAAGGTCTTTGGGAAGTTTGGTGGCCTTACCGGGCTTGGGCATTAGGACTAAGTTGCAGTCCGTGACTGCCGACGGCAGCTGAGATGGCTCGGTCGACACTCCCCGCGTGTAGTCAAGATGCACGCTGTGTGAAAACAGCTCGGAGCAGGATTGCCATACTTCCACTGGGAGGCTGGTCAGGGGAACAGCTTTACGAGGCTTAAGGTCCCTAATTGCATGCTGAATGTCCGTCAGCGTAATAACAGGGGGCTCAGCATGCCCAGCAAAACTAACTGGGTTAGGGTGGCTGAAAACCTCAGTGGAGTACGTCAGTATGGCATCAAACTGCTCCGACGGAGCAAGCGTGCTGCCATCAGCGCCACGAATGCACACTCGCTCTCTCCTCGTCTTGGGCGCAAGCTGCCTACTGATCGCGTAGATTTCATTCATCTGATCCTTGTTGGCTGCTTGTGCCGCTCTGTCGATGAGCGCGTGCACCCGCTGCTTGCGGTATGACAAGCTTGCTTGGCGAACCCTACGACTAAGCAACCTAAAGTGATTAAGTCTACGGAAAGCCTCAAGGTGGCGTGGGGAACAACGCATGTGTCTATACGCCTGCCACATGGTACCTATTGCCGAGGCAACAGCAGGGTCCTGATAAGCATGCTTGCGTGAGCTACGTGCCGCAGGGAAGTGCTTGCCACACAAAGGCAGCACCAACCGGTTCAGCTCAGAGATCGTCTGCACTTGAGGTCTCGCCCCAATCACGGTGTGAACCTGCCGCACGAACTGCTGCCAACGCTCATCCCCCGCACTCGCAATTGCACGTAAGGCTTGGACGGAGTACATGCGGCCCTGATTTGCACGACTACGCCGACGTGTCTGCCAGATCCCGACAACAGCCACACTGGCGTGAACAGGCCTATGTCTGGGGCCTATGCTCCAGGGCGCAAGATTGAGGTCAACAGGACCAGCACGCCGAGCCTGATGATCGGCTTGGGCCCGCCGTGTGAGGATATAGTCAATATGGGATCGGGTAGTACCGTTGATGAAAGTGCAGCAGTGCGAGGGCCTAGCTCTCCCCCACGAGTTAAGCACGCAAAGATCAAAGGTCTGCACTATGTTTCCAAACTCCCTGTCCTGTGTCCTGGACTGAAACAGTGTGCCTGATCCGATATGAGCCCCCAGTCGTTGGCAAGAAGTGTTAAAATCACCAGCCACCACCAACATGTTGCGGGCGGGCAGCGTGTGTAAGAGGCGGGAAAGTTGAGCCCACACTTTAGCCCTGTCCTTCTGCACCTGGTCGCTGTGGCGGTCCTGCAGGAGTGGTAGACTGCCACAAGGTCGACCGGTACACTGCCTCCTGTGAGCCGAACATGCAACAAGCGCCGGTAGCCAGGCACCAAAGACAATTTCATCTCGGGAGGCACAGCGGTTGGAGACACATACGCAAAGGCCGGAGTACCGTGCTGAAGGGTCTACACAGGGAATGAAGTGCCCGCCCCCTACGGTCCATTGCCCGTCCTGCTTGCCAAGTCCATGATGCACTTCCTGTAAGATGACTACGTCAAAGGAGTGCTGCTGATGGAGCCAAGTGACTAGGATGTCATAGAGCTCGGCCGTGACGCCACCAATGTTATATGAGATAACTTTCAGGCGGGCAGCTGTTCCAGGAGTCGCGTGCCCTCTTGGGCGCGTGCTATGCGCTTCCACCGGTGTAAGCTCGTCTGAGTGTACGCCCAGGGAGCGCGCCGAGCGCCAGGCGCCCCGATACCACGCGCCTCCACTTGTCCGTGCCCTTCTGCAAGCACGCTTGTACGACCGCTTTCGGGAGCGGCTGTGGGTGAAACTCGTCTCTATACCGGAATCTTTCGTCCCCACCACATCAGTAGCAGAAACTCCCCGAGCGGTACCGGATCCCGCTCGAACCCTCGGGTCTACAAGGCCTCTGTTCATAGCAGAAAAGAAAGGTTCACGAGGCTCCGCCGAATAAGGTTCTAGAGAGCCAGTGCTGGTGATAACCAAAGCCACCAGTAGGGTCCAGCAGTAAGCCATCATAACCAGAGGCCGGCCCTACGCACCAGCTAAGTTCAAGCCGAGACGCCTTAGTAGTAGTAGTAGTAGTAGTAGTAGTAGTAGTCGTAGTCGTAGTCGTAGTCGTAGTAGTAGTAGTAGTAGTAGTAGTAGTCGTAGTAGTAGTAGTAGTAGTAGTAGTCGTAGTAGTAGTGGTAGTAGTAGTGGTAGTTAGGAAGTTGTGTAGATGTGCGGGGATTTAGGGCTTAGGCTTTCGGGGTTTAGGGGGTTCAGGGTTTTAGGGCCTAAAGTTTTGGCTTTTAGGGATTCTAGGTTTAGGGTTCAAGGTTCTTAAGGCTCAGGGTTTAGGGTTTTGTTACTACTGGTAGCAACGTACTATTGCCATTGCAACTACCATTACGTACTATTACTGCTGCTAGCACTGCTGAAGGCCTCAGGGGCTACAAGCGGCACAAGTGGGATAAAGCGACGGTGTCAAGTGGCACAAGTGAGGTAAAAGGGGCGGTTGGGGTATTTGGGGAGGTTCAAGTGGCCCAAGGGTCCAAGGGGCAGAAATCAGATAGTGGGTTTCGAATCACTGCGCGTAGTAGTAGTAGTAGTAGTAGTAGTAGTAGTAGTAGTAGTAGTAGTAGTAGTAGGAGTAGGAGTAGGAGTAGTAGGAGTAGTAGGAGTAGTAGGAGTAGTAGGAGTAGTAGGAGTAGTAGGAGTAGTAGGAGTAGTAGGAGTAGTAGGAGTAGTAGCAGTAGGAGTAGCAGTAGGAGTAGCAGTAGGAGTAGCAGTAGGAGTAGCAGTAGGAGTAGCAGTAGCAGTAGCAGTAGCAGTAGCAGTAGCAGTAAAATAGCAGTAGTAGTAGTAGTAGTAGTAGTCGTAGTAGCAAACGTAGTAGCAATCGTAGTAGTCGTAGCAGCAGCAGCAGTAGCAGTGGGAGATAGTAGCAGCAGTGGCACTGGCTGTGGCAGTGGCTGTAGCAGTCGCAGTCGCAAGGGCAGTGGCAGTGGCAGGAGTTGGAGCTGGAGTTGGAGCTGCAGCTGGAGGAGGAGGAGTGGGAGCAGCAGCAGCAGGAGGAGTAGTAGTAAAAGTAGCGGTGGTAGTAGTAGTAGTAGTAGTAGTAGTAGTAGTAGTAGTAGTAGTTCTGGTAGTCGTCGTCTTTTAAAGTTGGAGTGACAGGTGGTACCAGAAAAAGTAATGGTCGGGCTGCGTTGTTCAGAGGCTTGCTACAGGATTGTGAGGAGCGATCGGAAGGTCTCGCACAGCAAAGCGCAGGATGTGCCACTTTTAACAGTGGCAGCTGCGACTCTTGCAGCTAGTGCGTGGCACTGTTTGGACCTCTGGTTCCCTCGTGCTCTGCAACCTTGACTTTATTTGGATCCTTCTTTCGAATGCAAAAACTCGGCTGTGAGACTAGCCCCTCGAGCCGACCATTTCTGAGATTCGCAGCTGTGGCGGCTGTGGCACAATTTCGCCGCCACCCGAATTCATAGTATTGAGACAGAGAGGGTCAAAGTAGCCTGAAGCTTTGTTTATGCTATAGAAATCGTTCTTCAGCGAAAGCGTTGGCTTGGCGGGACCCGAAACACGCTTGACCGGGATCTGCTGTGCCTGAGAAAGACCACGAAGGACCTTTCGTGATTTAACTTCGCCGGTCTGTGTTGCAGTCAGATGCAGGCTTGGACATCCTTCAAGGATCGACCATGCATCTGCTATGTCTACACCTGAGTTGCCAGAGTCATGGTGGATCAGTCTCAGCACATCTTGATTTCCACGCTTCCAGGTGCCGCCTGTTTCCAGAGCTCCTCTGCGTTGAAGCTGGAGCAGGCCTGGCATTTTGTTAGATTTTTCTTGCGGGAGGTGTGGGGGGTTTGTGACCCGTAGGTGGACAACTTCACTCAGAGCGCGCTGCTCTCTCTCCAGGTCTCTGCACGTGGACGCGTGTTGACGTGGTCAACTCTGTGCACGGTCGGCTGCTTCCAGGATAGGATGGGTGCCATCTTCACAGAACAACTGCTCCAGGACAGCGTGTACGCAGCATGCGGTGATGTTAGTGGCATTAAGTCACGCACAGGTCATGTTGATGTAGCAAGTTTTGTCGCATGGAACGGCGCATCACCAAAGCAGTCGCATCGAGGTCGTGTGGCCAGCGTAAGCAAGAGATTGCGACAGATACGTCAGGATGTGCCACCGGATCCATCTTGTTCACTTGCTTACATAATGGAGCTCACCGCAGGCACGGAGTGAGCAGGGCTCTCAAACAGTTTTCAAGTGAGACTGACTTGTTGCAGGGAGCCTTTTTCCAGCCTGGGGCCGCTTTTCGCCTGTGCTCTTGCCACGTTTTGAAAAGTGAGGCCTTCTATATTCTAACTAACACTCCTCCGGCTGTTGTGTTTGGGTCCCAAACTTCCTCCAGGCCTTGGCTGCATCTTCCTCGTTGCTCCAGACTTTCGCAGCATGGATGGACCGAGTCCGGACCGCAGCAACGGGGAGCAACGGGCAGAGCTTCGCACATGTGTCACTGAGGTTCTTTCGCTGCTGGTTGAAGTTCCTGGATCTTTGCTGCATCGGGCCTGGAAGATGTTGTACGAATTACCTTGCCAGATTGAAGGGAATCGAAAGGAAGTCGAAAGACATGCAGTGCATCTACTGGATATGAAATGACAGCTGAAATGATACCATATGTCTATGTGTGCATCCTTGCTTTTACATCTTCAGGCACAGAGCCCCAAAACAACAAACGTGCCCCACGATATTCCTAATTCAGGAAAGTTTGGGCCGGCTCAGCAATATCAGAAATGAGAAAGGAAGCCCTCGAGATGTTTCATTTGAGGGCTTTAGCAGGCACGAACATATCCGAAATGAGAAGAACAGCTTTGAAGTTGTAGGAGTCCCAGCCAACTTAGACATGCCCCCCAACGTTGGTTACCCTTCACATGTTTTATCCTTAGCTAGGCCGTTGCCCGTACATGTCTTAACTAACTGCTTCTTGTACAGCGGTTGCACTGTAAGCGATTGAAGCACAGTTGAAGCACATCGCTGTCTTACTCCCATGCCAAGGTTTCAGCACACCATGCTGAAGGCGAGCCTTGCAGCCGGAATTTGCGTTTAGAGTGGTGGGTGCCACCCGTGTGCTCAGCTCCTGCTCTTCTATGGCGAGAGGCCCGAAAGCGGGGCTCCGAGAGGGCGCAAGTTGCCGCCATCGCAAGCTTCTTTGAGGTTTCAGGGCCTCTGCCTCGCAATGCAGGTGATGCCTTCCAACTCCTGATTGGGCAACTCTGTCACGCCTTGCCGAACTGAGCATCCGTTCCTCTAACTGTGGCCCAGTCGCAAGGCAAGCGCCAACATCGGATCGGCAGCATAGACCGGTCCAGGCGCGGAAAGCGGGGACCGTAACGCTGGCTTCAGCTGGTAGCTTGACAGGCCGATCCTCCGACCCTTTGCCCCGAGAACGCTCCCAGGCTCTTCCTTTTTGTCCGCCAGGCTTTCATGGGAGCATGAGCAAGTGCGCACGCATGCGGACGCCAGAACTCATACGAGCCTTGTTCAGCTTCTCCTAGGCAGAAGATGCAGTCAAGCTCGTGCATTTTATCGTCGGTCTGAAGGGGAATCACGAGAAGAGTAGCTCAGAAGCCTGCCATTGCAGGCGGTGCGTCCGGAACAGGCCGCGAAGTGCTACCGGGAACTTCAGGCTGGCTGAAGATATGAGAAGCTAATAGCCTGGGAAAATCAAACCCCAGCATTGGGGCAGGCACTTTCATCGTCCTCCCTTCGCTGGGCGGGATCCCCACTGTAGGGAAGAGCCCGTTCTGGAACTTGTTAATACGGTGCTGGACCAGGTCGTGACCAATCAGTCCCATGTCGCAGCTCTTTCTGACGAGGTGCACATCATGAAAATGCAAGAGAATAAGTGTCGCCAGTAATGCTTTTCTGGACAGAAGCGAAAGCTCTCGTAACCATGATACCAATCTGCTAGGGTCTAGCAGGCTCAGTGACAGATTGAAAACTGACAGCCAAGAAGAGAATCAGTGGTTGAAGGCTGCAGTGAGAAGGATTCCATTCAAGGATCCTACAGTTTCTTTGTATTAAAGTAGTCACATACCTGGAGCCTCGTGAGACTACGCAGGTGGCACTTCGCGGCCAAAGTCCCAAAGTGGAGCTCATTTGGCGCCGCTTCGAGGTTGGTTGTGAGATCGACAAATGCTGAGGGATGTTGAGGGACGGACTGTGTGAAGTCGCACTTGCATCATCAATCAGTCGTTTGACTGCAGCGTGGGGCGAGCTGAGTTTTAATTTTAACGCTACGCCGCCCGCCTCGGCTCTGTAGTGGCAGGGCGAGGGTCCCGGCTTATTGTATACCTTCTGGTCACCCTAAACCCTAAACTAAACCCTAAACCCTAAACCCTAAACCCTAAACCCAAACCCTAAACCCTAAACCCTAAACCCTAAACCCTAAACCCTAAACCCTAAACCCTAAACCAGACAGGCAGTGGATTGACGCAAAAGCCAAAGCGGGGGCGAGGAAGACGAAACGAGGGCGGAGAGAAGAAGTGGGAGCAGGAAAGAGGGAAGAAAAAGGGGGGGGAGGGGGGGGGGGGGGGAGGGGGGGGAGGGGGGAGGGAGGGGGGGGGAGGGGGGGGGAGGGGGGGGGCCGGGCAAGGGGGTGGCAAACGAGCGCAAAAACAGGGTGTCACCAAACGTTTGGGCGGGAGGAGGATTAGGTGGAGGGTACCTGAGGTAACCACCAAAACGCCTGGGCCTGTGGCCTCGGCGGATTGTTGTCCAAGCGCCCACTTCTGGATGTTGTGGTAGATAAACATCGAGAACTGCTCATTAGGACTTAGATTTGCACGACAGTTCGGGTGGAGAGATGCCGCCGGCCATGTTTAGGTGCCACAAGGCAGCCAGATTGATTGGGCATATCGCAAAACCAGGTGGATTCCAAAGGAAGCGAAGCGGGGAGGGGCGGGATGGAAAAGAAATGGGCTTAGCACCCGTACCAACCACACAGAAAGCCCGGGCACAGACGGATCACCAGATCATCGCACCTTTTCAAAAACACGAAAGATCCCTTGCCCTGTCAGCCTCGGCTTACGTTCGCGCTGTGGACTGCCCGAGTCGCCAGCTTTCTTTCCTGGCGCTCAGGATTTGTTGGGTTGGCAGGCATGTCAAGGCTCTAGACCTTTGAAATGCAGGAGGAAGGACCGCAAGAAGCCCGATTCCTGTGATTCAGTTTGGACTCAATTCTGAATCTGGGCTGGGATGGGATAGGGATCGAAAAAAAAAATAAAAAAGGATCAAAAAAAATAAAAAGGGATCAAGAAGAAAATAAAAAAGGATCAAAAGCAAAATAAACGCTCAATCAAGAGCTAGGCTTCCTGGTCCTCTGGTCCCCTGGTCCTCTGGTCCCCTGGTCCTCTGGTCCCCTGGTCCTCTGGTTCCCTGGTCCTCTGGTCCCCTGGTCCTCTTGTACTTTTGAATCCGTGCAAATACACACAAAAACTTTGCAAATACACATTAATGTGTGCAAATACACAGTAAATGTGTGCAAATACACACTAAATGTGTGCAAACACACACTACATGTGTGCAAATACACACTAAATCCATACAAATACACACTAAATCCATAGAAATACACACTAAATCCTTGCAAATACACTCTAAATCAGTGCAAATACACACTAACTGTGTACAAATACACACCATATGTGTACAAATACACACTAAATGTGTACAAATACACACTAAATGTGTACAAATACACATTAAATGTATGCAAATACACACTAAATGTGTACAAATACACACTGAATGTGTACAAATACACACTAAATGTGTACAAATACACATTAAATGTGTACAAATACACACTAAATGTGTACAAATACACACTAAATGTGTACAAATACACACTAAATGTGTGCAAATACACAGTAAATGTGTACAAATACACACTAAATGTGTGCAAATACACACTAAATCTGTGCAAATACACACTGTGTAAAAATGCACACTAAATCCGTGCAAACACACACTACATGTGTGCAAATACACACTAAACTAAACCCGTGCAAATACACGCAAAATCCGTGCAAATACACACTAAATGTGCAAATACACACTAAATGTGTACAAATACACACCACATGTGTGCAAATACACACTAAAGATACACATTAAATGTATGCAAATACACACTAAATGTGTAAAAATACACACTAAATGTGTGCAAATACACACAAAATCCGTGCAAATACACAAAATCAGTACACATACACACAAAATGTGTGCAAATACACACTAAATCCGTGCAATACACACTAAATGTGTACAAATACACAGTAAATGTGTACAAATACATATTAAATTTTGAGTAAATACGTGCAAATACACACTAAATGTGCACACACACACACTACATGTGTGCAAATACACACTACATGTGTGCAAATACACACTAGATGTGTACAAATAGGCACTAAATGTATACAAATACACACTAACTGTGTGCAAATACACACTAAATGTGTGCAAATACACTAAATCCGTGCAAATACACACTAAATGTGTACAAATACACACTCAATGTGCACAAATACACACTACATGTGTACATATACACACTAGATGTGTGCAAATACACACGAAATCCGCGCAAATACACACTAGATGTGTGCAAATACACACTAAATCCGCGCAAATACACACTAAATCCGTGCAAATACGCACTAAATCCGTGCAAATACACACTAAATGTGTGCAAACACACACTAAATGTGTGCAAACACACACTACATGTGTGCAAATACACATTTAATCAGTGCAAATACACACAAAACCCATGCAAATACACACAAATGTGCGCAAATCCGTGCAAATACACACACAATCCGTGCAAATACACACTAAATCCGTGCAAATACACAGTAAATGTGTACAAATACACACCATATGTGTACAAATACACACTAAATGTGTACAAATACACACACTAAATGTGTACAAATACACACTAAATGTGTGCAAATACACACTAAATGTGTACAAATACACACTAAATGTGTACAAATACACACTAAATGTGTACAAATACACACTAAATGTATACAAATACACACTAAATGTGTACAAATACACACTAAATGTGTACAAATACACACTAAATCTGTGCAAATACACACTAAATGTGTGCAAATACACATTAAATGTGTGCAAATACACACTACATGTGTGCAAATACACACTAAATCCGTGCAAATACAGACAAAATCCACAGTAAATGTGTGCAAATACACACTAAATTTGTACAAATACACACCACATGTGTGCAAATACACACTAAATGTGTACAAATACACACTACATGTGTGCAAATACACACTAAATCCTTGCAAATACACGCAAAATCTGTGCAAATACACACAAAATGTGTGCAAATACACACTAAATCCGTGCAAATACACACTTTTTGTTTCCACATTTATTTTTGGTACCCCCCCCCCCCGGTACCCAGGTTGTGTCCTGTTCAAGTCAGACGCCTTGTCCCTAATATTTGTTTGTGTTCCTTGGTCATTGCGTCTCTGGGAAAGCACGTTTTCGTTTACTGTGGCTCTCTGGGCTTCTAAGATTGAGCAGATCTTACGTACTCGTGCGAGGCGTTTTGCAGACAAGCCGGTAAGGTATTTGCATCCTTGATTAAACTCACTAGCTGGTCCAACACGAAGCTAGGTAATTCATAGTCTCCGCTTGAAGACACTACTGTGGGAACACCAGTTCATGGGTTTTCTGTTTATCACGTAAAAGGCTGTACTCCATGTCTAAGATTCAAAAATTTATTATAGGAAAGCTATTGCTGCACGACCAATGCAAGCTTAGCTGGCTTAATCACCCACTTCTTAAGATAAATGTAGAAGGATCTACTTATGTTGCTTGGTGTTTGCATGGGGGTCTTTGGTCGTTGTGGTTGTGTATTCTTTTTTGGTGTGGCACTGGTGCTTACAAAAAAACAAAGAGCCCGTGGTCAAAAGACTACCATGTGTATCAGAATTCTGACATACATCGTTGTCAACTTGTCATCATGTGGTAGGTGCAGACTTTCGAAAACGATTCTGCGACCAATAAAATGGATATTAGCTGTATGATGCACGCACTTTTGATGAACTGCACTCGGATTAAACATGTCGAAGTCACCTGACGTGAAAAAACTATAGTCGAACACATTAACTACAACATACAACCTAGCGTGTAACACGCAGCCCCGGCGTGTTGGATCATGTTTGATTTGGAAGACTAACAACTCACTCTCAGCAGGTAAAAAGCAAGCGCAAATGTGTGACTTGGTTAACCATCATCCTACCAAGAAGTGTGTTGAAGCACAAGTGTACGTATTCACGTGGTGCTCTCTGGTAGGTTTATACTCAACTTAGCAGGGAGTATAAAACACAGGACTCAGCAGGTACTTCATTTACTTCATAATGCTTGGCTACTATTAAGCAAGGTTCCCGAACAATATACGAGGCAGTCTGAATGAACAATCACAACAGTAATTGACACAGTAAAATTTGATGCAGAAATTAAACAAGCCGGGTGGTACATGGTCCTAAATGGCCTGGTATTGGTGAAGTATGATAACCACTGTAACAGGAATAATGGCAATTTACAAGATGTGATAACAACACTGTGAAAGGTAATATTAAAACCACACTTGACACTTGAGCTCGATATAGAAGAACAGAACATGTAGCAGTTTCATGACTGGGAAAAGAAACGGAGATCGGATTCCTAAGGCAATGGAGACTATACTTGCACTAACAATTGCGAAGCTTACACACACCATCGTGAAACACGATTTCATACTTTTGTCGCTATTGACTGCTAATTTGACAGACACGCATGAATCATTGTACAGTGCTGCGGAGACTAAAGGCTTTGACAAGTATACTGACACTATATGACATTGCTTTAGGCTTATTCCATATATGGCTGTATGAACCAATGAACACAGCAATTCATGTGAGAGACTGCAACACCCACCACAGCAATGACATTGTTGCCTGTGTAAAAAACCATAACGACAGCCAATTAAACACAGCCACTATCCACCTTGATCCGAAATCTGCGTGCATGGCCTTGGGGATGCTGCAGTATCACCTCTATGCCGTGCAAAGCTCTTTCTCTTACTGGGTTTCAGTAGGCCTGCTTCGCTATACCCTGCAGTTTGTCACACTCGCTCACTACTAGTACTATATGTCGGCTTATCGCGACCATGCGCGTGCACTTGCAGCCTTTTCTGTCCGACTTCCTTCGTGCTATCAGCACAAAGACGAAAACCTGGGTACCTGAGGGGGGGGGTAGCTTATTTTTATATTGATCCGTTTTTATTTTTTTTTGATCCTGAAGTTTTTTTTTGATCCTTTTTTATTTATTTTTTGATCCGGCAGCCCTGGCTGGGATTGATTGAGATTCAAGATCCCGGAATAGCTTCTTGGAGGCATCTAGACTTGCATAACATGCAGGCTCCGGGGCAGTGTATTCTGGACTTGCAGATGCCAGAGATGATTTACCTTTAGGAGACAGGGCCCCGGAAAAAACAAAATCGAACCAAGCCTGGATGCTGAATCTGTTGGATCTAGTCCTGTATATGAGTTGCAAGAGCACCCATCTGTTTCTTCAATCAAGATAAGTACATGTTCTTGTACAATTCTGAAAGTTGCAAGTTGGCAGAAGATGGCACAAGTGATCAAAACCAGAGGTTAAAGAAGTGAAATTGCAGTTGGTGTATGTTCACAATATACTTGACTTGGATATCCGAAAGGACATCTGGGCGGTTTAGACAGATACCTACATAATTTCCAGGATGCTTAGGTGAACTAGATGGTTTCCGAACTGCTCACTGGATTGCGATGTTAGATCGTTTCTCCTCATTTGGACACCCCAGATAGCTTAGACAAAGGTCGAACCTGACTGAACGTCACCCAAATCCATACTGATATTGTGGGAATGGTTCGATTGCCAAAATCAAGTTTTTAAGTACGCTTCCTTTCTATTTATGTACCGGTTTAAATTGTTGAGGCCCTGCTCTAAATTCTTTGCTCTTGTCGGTTATGGGAACTCCCGTCTGACATGCCCGAAACAATGCTTGAATTGTCTAGGTCCTAGAGTCTAGGTCCCTTTCGAAGTCTCTGAGTTTCTTTGTGTGGACAGGCTGGAGTGCTTAGGGCTTAGGAGGTTCCAATAGTCTCTGCATCATATTTGGCTCTCTCCAAACACAGATAGAGGGGTTTACGAATATCATCTAAGTTGTATGAGAGTATCAAGATAGAGTCATCTTGAGTAGTTCAGATCATGAAGATCAGTTTCTTAGGTCACAGTACGTGGATCATTTTCGCAACTTGAAAGCTTTTAGTTTTCTAGTACTAAGATGTGTAGATACACGTTGAAATGATTTGAACCCAGTAAGAGTTTTGATATATCGGTTAACAGGCTCATATTCTAGCGTAAAGCAGGGCTAAAGATGTTACTCCACCATTAACGCGGCAAAGTACAGGCCGCTGTATGTTCTGAAGAAGCTTGGGTTCAATATTTCTGATCTCGATGAACAGTACTGGGGACCCAAATTTTTTGGCCCTTTTATTTTTTTGTTCGTGGGAAGCAAGGAAGGAAGGAAGGAAGGAAGGAGGAAAAACCAAGACAACGAGCCAAAGAACAACAATAAACACCAATCAAATGCCACCAAAACAACTTCACTCGTTTGTTTTCCTGCGTAAACGTAGAAGTAAACATAGACAAATACAGGTCTATGGATGTAGATATGGACATATCGAGAAAATCCTGGTTTTCCACCTTAAAACTAGATAAAAGACTGGTTTTACTAGGGGAATATAAACAAACTAGAAGTTTTCCTATGGGAACGTAGGCAACTCCCCCCTAAACCCGAAACCCGGGAACGTACGCAACTCCCCCCTAAACCCGAAACCCGGGAACGTAGGCAACAACTCCCCTTTAAACCCGAAACCCCCCAGCCCCACCCCCAACCCGAAACCCCCAGCCCAACCCCCACCCCCCCCAAAAAAAAACGGCCCAAACACAAACAAGGGCCAAACAAATATCTCCACCCAACAGCACTAGACCCATGATTATTAGTGCAAGATGCAGCCTGCTGGCAGGTGCGAAATCTCGACAGTTTCGTGGCCGATATCTGCCCTGGAGTGCCTGCATGGGTAGCAGATGTCGAGGCAAAGCGTGGCCACGCATTGAACCTTCGAAGTTCCAGCGCTTGCGAGGCACTAGATTGCCATACTCTTGCTGGATCCATCTCCAGGTCGTTGGCATCACCCAGCTCGCTGTCTTTGTCTCTCGTTCTCTCGCTCTCTCTTCTTGAGGTTTTCGGAGGGAGAGATCAACACAAAGCTGGAAAGTAACACTGCTAGGCTGGTCACAGCACCGGTGGAGCAGGATTTGTTGCCGAGGGCTCGAGCCGGGTGGGGTGGCCCTCCAGAATGCAAGACGGCGTTGCCGCACCTTGCGGTGTGAAGCGTGTGGCCCAGGCCATCTTCGTGGCCCCAGGGTCTGCGCCCGGCGAGGTGTCAAGTCTGGAGCGAAGATGAGCTTGGCTTTGCATGACGAAAGGTTGATGCTGCAAGTTTTCGCGAAGTTCTGAGCAAATGCAGGCCGCAATCGTCGCCTTCTGTCTGGCCGCCAGCCTGGCTCTGGCCGTCGCTGCTCATCGGTTGTGCAGGCCTGCATACATGGCGTGCCAGGTCTCCGTCAATCAGCAACTACATTCAGGCAGCCATTGAGCGTTGCCCGCACTTGCTAGGTCAGCTAAAGTCAATGTCTCTCGCACCACGATTGACCAAGCTCGTAACCACGCGTGATGGGATGGGAATGACACAGAGGATAGTTTCTTTTGCATGGAACAGAGTATGAATGAAAGCGCAGGAATTCAATCACGTAGCTTCGGCCCTACAGCTCACGTTACAGCTCATCTGCTGGATAAGAAATGTCACCTCCAGACCTAGTGTCCCCTTCATGGCTACACTGGCTTTAGTCTCACTTTCTCCCCCAATTTGTACCTTTCGTGTCGTGTTCACTTCTCAACTCGCCGTGTGGCTATGGCACCAAATGATGCAGCGTCAACCTCCCAAGTAAGAAACACACCTTCCTACAATTCGGTCTCCCGGATGACGCCAAACTGCCCGCCTCCAGATCCCTGGCACTCTGAGCGAATGCCACACGCTGCGGCGCGGGAAACCCACCAAAACAAGAAACGCTTGCATCGCTTGCTCCGTGTTTATTTTTGCAGGCGTGGAAACACAAAAAGTAAGACATGCGGGGAGCTACAGTTCTTGTTTTCGGGGTTTCGGAGTCCTGAAAACACGCTGACCCGGTACCGGGTACCCTTCATTTCTTACAGGGAACTACCGAAGTCGTAACGCATGTCAGCATATCGGAGCATACCTTCGGGGAAGCGAAGACGCTAGGTCGTAACATTCCGCGGTGTAGTTGGGGATACACTCGTAGTTCCTGGCCAAAGTCCCTTTATATTCCAAACTTTAGTACTCGAAATGCCTCGTTTGGCGTCCTGGCTGAATTGTGCTTGGTTGTAGTACAGCTTTAGTACTCGAAATGCCTCGTTTGGCGTCCTGGCTGGATTGTGCTTGGTTGTAGTACAACTTTAGTACTGGAAATGCCTCGTTTGGCGTCCTGGCTGGATTGTGCTTGGTTGTAGTACAGCTTTAGTACTCGAAATGCCTCGTTTGGCGTCCTGGCTGGATTGTGCTTGGTTGTAGTACAACTTTAGTACTGGAAATGCCTCGTTTGGCATCCCGGCTGGATTGTGCTTGGTTGTAGTACAACTTTAGTACTGGAAATGCCTCGTTTGGCGTCCTGGCTGGATTGTGCTTGGTTGTACTAAAACTTTAGTACTGGAACTGCCTCGTTTGGCGTCCTGGCTGGATTGCGCTTGGTTGTAGTACAACTTTAGTACTGGAACTGCCTCGTTTGGAGTCCTGGCTGGATTGTGCTTGGTTGTAGTACAACTTTAGTACTGGTACTGCCTCGTTTGGCGTCCTGGCTGGATTGTGCTTGGTTGTAGTACAACTTGAGTACTGGAAATGCTTCGTTTGGCGTCCTGGCTTGATTGTGTTTGGTTGTAGTACAGCTTTAGTGCTGGAAGTGCCGCTTGTCGTTTCCAAGCCCACTGTTCGGTAGAAAGTTTCAGACACGGCGTGTGGCAACCATGTTGTGTGTCAGGCGCGGTTACGTGGGGGAAATAGCAAATGTTATGACTTCTTATTAGCACTGAACATGCGGAAGCGACTTTGCAGACAGCTCAAATATCCTGCGGTGACATGGTGGAAAGCGATTTTGTTATGACTTCCGAAGATGAGTCGTAACGCGCGATTAGTTGCGGGAAGGCTCGCCCACCGTTTTTGTTATGAAGTCGGTGTGTACCTGTAACAATGAGGCATCTAGTGTTGTTAGCATGTCTTGTCCTATCCAGCTGACTAAGCCGTTGCACCTCTTAAGCGCACGTTTCTGGTCAAGTGGATACACCTGGCCCAGGAAGATGGCTGAATCTTCTCAAGGGAAGCAGCCCTCACTCCCTGAATCCCCGCAGTGAAGAGGACAACGGCATCACCACCAGCATCATCATCACCATCATCAAATTCATCACCCTACCTTCACTATCATTTCTACGACTTTTGCCGACGTTGGTAGGCCGGGCTCAAGAGCGAAGCTGAGCCGGATCAGCACGTAGCAGTCTGCAGACGTGTATATATGTATATCTGCTTCGCCAAACACTACCCAGCTTCGTACATACCACTACGACGACGACTACCACCACGACAACTTGCTGCTGCTACTACTACTACTACTACCACTACTACTACTACTACGACGACGACGACTACTAGTACTACTACTACTACTACTACTACTACTAGGCACCAGCCTACTCCTGTGACCCCCGTCTCCTTTTCTGTTGCATGCCGCAACCGTTTCAGAGCAGCTTTCTCTGCGCTTGTGGACATTGCTCTGTTGCAGGGCTTGTTCCTACGACGTAAATTTTTCCTGTTAGATCGGGTTTTCCTGTTAGATAGGGTTTTCCGTTAGATGGAGTTTCCCACTAGATAAGTTTTAGTATTAGATAGGGTCTTTCTACTAGACAGGGTTTTCCTGTTAGAAAGGGTTATCCTATTAGATAGGGTTGTCCTATTAGACAGGGCTTCCCTGTTAGATAAGGTTTTTGTATTAGATGGGGTTTTCCTTTGACACAGTGGTGAAAGGAGCTCTTTTTTAAACTGGCTTGGCTTGGCTCGGTTTGGCTTGACTTGGTTTGGCTTAGCTTGGCCTGGCCTTGATTAAATTTGATTAACCGGCCCAGCCTCAGGTGCAGTAGCAGTAGCAATGGCAGTACTTTCCAGTAGCAGTAGGCAGTAGTACAGTAGTACTCCACTGCCTGCCCCTCTACAGTACTGGTCGCCCGCCTGCCCCCGTTAAAGTAGTTGGTCGCCGGCCTGCTCCTCTAAAGTAGTAGTAATCCTCAGCCTCTTGGTGCTGTAGAGATAGGTAAGGGGGTCGCACTACTACTATTACTACTATTACTACTACTACTACTACTACTACTACTACTACTACTACTACTACCACTACCACTACCACTACCACTGCCACTGCCACTGCCACTGCCACTACCACTGCCACTGCCACTGCCACTACCTCTGCCACTACCACTACCACTACCACTACCACTACCACTACCACTGCCACTGCCACTACCACTACCACTACCACTACCACTACCACTACCACTACCACTACCACTACCACTACCACTACCACTACCATCACAGTTGCTGCCGCCACGACAACGACGACTGTAACGACAACAACCATGACTATCGCGACGACTGCGAGTGCTCGTATTGCAGTCCCTGGGGGCTAAAAACATGTCGCAAGGCTCGGGTTCAGCGTTCAGGTGCGCCACTAGGGCTCAGGGTAGGTCTCAGGCTCTAGCACCGGGCAGGCACATGCTGCACTGGTCCGACGTTTGGGAGAAGGCGGTGAACCAACGAACTCTAAGGCTCATTCTCTGCACCTCGTCGTCGTTGTGTCTTCTCTGCGTTTCGCTGATGGTCTTGCGGCAGGTCTTGGTGTATGCGTGCACGGCTCGAATCCAAGTGCTGCCCAAGAACGGTGGTGATGTTCTTGTGTTTCATTCTCGCATCTTTGTACGTTAGGCGATGAGTTACTGTGGCGGACACGGAGATAGGCTAAACGGGATGCTTAGCGCGGAGCTTGGCCAGCACTGCAAAGAAACGTCGACTTGCTCCAAGCCGAACAGCCGAAGGTGCCTTTGTCGTCGCCCTATTGTCGGACAGAGCTTTTTTCATCGACTCGCAGCGCCCTGTGCCGCTCAGCATGGCCTTGTCCTCAGCCAGACCAGCCGTGGACGAAGTCGGTAGGACGGCAGAGTTCCGCTTAGCAGGTTTTGCAGCCGAGACCCGGCGGACTTGATTGGCGAATGTTTGGTTCCCATGCGGCGCTGCCGGAGCGAGCCCCAGAGCAGAGAGCGGAGCGAAGCGGAGCGAAGCGGAGCGAAGCGGAGCGAAGCGCCCCAGCCAACCCATCCCAATGCTCGGTGACGATGCGTGGCGGCCTAGGCCGGCTTCAACCTGAACGACAACTTGGCGGCCTTCGAGCAAAATCCACGCAAGGTGAAAAGCCGAGCTCTTCGCAGAGAAGCGACGCTCTGCGATGCTCTGCGCTCTCTTTGGGAGCCTGGCTGTTGAAGGTCCTGGAGAGCCAGGAGAAGGTCATCAGGCTTGTTTCTAATCAGCGTTGGATCGCTCGGTGGCTGACGGCTGCGACACTGCTCAGAGGAGGACTTTAGCACTTTAGCTGAGCCAAGGTCTGACCGCTGCTGCGCTGCAGGCGTCAGGGCAGCGAGCGGAAAGTCTAGGCGAGGCGGCGACATACAGATATGGCCGTTGAACGGAGCGTCCGAGGGCCTGACTGACAGATGTCATGGCTGGTCCGTTAGCCATTCCCCGGGTCTAGGTTTGAGCCGTCAGCCGGCACTGCACTCGCATCTTTTTCAGATGCTCTTCGTGCCGTGCGACCCTTGGGAGAGGAATGTATCGCCATGACCATCACAGTCCATCGCCGCAGAGGTCTCCAGCCCTGCAAGCCCGCCTGAACGCGCGTGATCTGCCGGCGGGGCGCCGCATAGGCTAGATTTAGGGCGGCAAGTTCTTGATCCAGCCAGTCGCAAGACGGCATAGTCGCGAGAGCAGCATCTCAAGGCGTGCACTTCCGCGCGGGCGATCAAATGCCACAGAACTGGAAGGATGCTCGGGGTGTTTGAAGTAGAAAGGCTCGGAGGTTCAGAGCAAACCGAAGCTCGGTTGGTGCTTCTGCACGCAGGACCCTCCGCGCCACCCGCTCTCGGAGCTGGAGCGGCGACCAACAAAGAGGCGGAAAAAGGCCTCTCGCACAAGTCTCCTAGCAGGACGAGTTCCTGGACTGTGCGCAGAGCCTTGAGAAGGATTATGGCCTTGCACTGAGCCCGAGTGTTAGACTGTTAGACGCTCTAGATCATGGAGCGTTGAAGACTGGCATAGCTTGACCTTGCGTGGCGAGGCTGGGATGCAACGTTCATTCTTTTTGCTGATACCGACAAAGTGCTGACAATTCCTCGTGTCCAGGACACTGAGTAGTATTTTCTCATTCCATCAGCGATGGTGGGGCTTTAGTTCTACTGGGGGTTTAGTGCATTTGAGTGCGCTTGTGCAATGCCTGCGGTCGTGACCGCCCATTCATTCGGAGCTTCGTAGTTTCCTGAAGCCGTTTGCATTTGTGACAGTGTCCGCTGCAGTGCCGTGTGGTTTTGCCCGATGACCACCAGACATTATCTTCGCAGGAGCTCATGTCCGCAGGAAAGCTGGTCCCTGGCCCAACTTGTTCAAATGCTGGAGGTCCTGTCGCAACTTGAATGGTAGTGGCATCGAGGTCTGGCCCAGTGAGCCTGATGGCCTTGTGCATTTGGTGATCCCCTCAGCGACATTCTTGTCACATATCTGCCTCTTGCTCCCCAAGCAATACTCGTAACATGCAACCAGGACCGATCGCCGGCGACACTTACGGCCAACGCCTGAACGGTAAGATGAAAGTCGCCTGGAATCTGACTCTGTTCGCCATTCGCTTTGCAGGTCCGAGGGCTCCTCCAGACTTGGTCAGACTGGTGGACCTTGGCTTTTGACGTGGATGCCTTGGTCCTCTGCCACAGCGGCCTGGACCTTATCCGGCCGATCAAGACCAACCCCAGCCCAGATTCGTGCAAATCCTCACGTGCTCCCGCTCGAGGCTTCGGCGCGACAGCTTTGGAGATTGGTCCAAGACGCCCTGCTGCGATGTCCCCAGCATTGAATTTGCGGAAGAGGATGTTCAAGCAGCAAGCAGCGATGGCTGCATTGCTCACCAATCATGTTAGGAGCCGACATTGACATGTTTCGCAAGGTTATTGGACGTGGATGCGTGCCCGCAGACGGAACCACAGGCCCGATGCTTACTCGCCACCTGTGCAGGGACCGCCTGCGCTCAACATGCCCAGGGTGACAATCGCTGTGCCAGCTTCGAGAAGCCAGGGGCAAAAAGATAAAGACTGCTCTCGTACCTCTGGTATCTGGACCTCAGATCTCAAACGAGTCTTGCCCTGTGGTCCTTCGCTTGCAACATGCTTGCAGCCAGCGTAGCCATAGCCACTCTAGGCCCTAGGCGACCTGCTTCTGCAGCTGGTGGAGGCTTTCTGGGTATCTTCGAACCAGTCTCTAATATCTAGCCGCCTCTTTAGACCCTCGGTTTTTAGACAGCCGTCCGATTCCAATTCGGGCGCGTAGTCATGGACGATCGATGTTGCAATCCTTGGCAACCTTTGGCGCCGGCGTATTCACTGGGCAGGGCCTCCAGACCTGCCACGCATCGCTTCCCCAGTGCAGCCTTGGCGAGGAGCCTTGGGGTTTCCGCCTTCTTGGCCTTAGTCTTAGATCCGAAATGTTGGCGTCTAAGACAGAACTGTGATTCAGGACAGGGCCCGGCTGTTGGTGCGCTGCCACGGTGCCCAAATCCCTTCTCTGCCGGCACCTGGCGTCCTGTCACGGCAGCGGCCGCAGCTCAGCATCCGTCTTGGTGCCACGGAGAAGCAAACCGAGCCCTGCTTGAAGCAGAAATGGAAGCTGACAAAATTCTTGGAGTGCCCAGGTTTGCCCAGGTCTTCGCATATGCTGATGCATCCTGATCTGTGTACTACTAGTAGGCACCGGTAGAGGCCAATGCTTGCAAGTACCAAGTTGCAATTTTTAGTATTCCGCGTGCTGAGGGGCCGGGAGATTTTATGGAGAGCGAGAAATTATGTGGGATGCCGGACTGCAACTGGCGCTTCGGGGATGTGATGACGTTTCTCGTTACTGTCGACGACGTGCTCAGGGAGGGCGGCTTGCGTTTTAGCCTGCTTTCGAAAACGGACTTCCGATTCGGACCTCTGCAAATGGAGTTGGCACAGACCGTGGAGCTGGGTGCGGGAGCCCTGGACTTGAGAGATGCTTTGCTGACGTGTGCACCAGTACAGTCGCAATCGCCGTTTGCCCAGCCGGCAACTCGCTGCTGGGATTCGCCCGTGCTGCGGATTGATCTCATTCAGCTGCAGTCAGCCTGTCCCCTGGACGTTGCCGCCGCAGCATTCGTGTCCATTACCTACTTCGGGGATCCATCGTCGCTTCTTCAGAAAGCCGAGAAGGCCGACAAGCCATTGCTGAAAAGGATAGCCGGCCCTTGCCTTGATCCCTGTCACTGTGGAGATCCCCCTGCTCAAGGGAGTGTGATTCCAAGCTTTGCTGAGCCAGATTCAGAACAGCCACCCAATTCGGAGTACACCACTTGCGAAGTGCCCTCCTTCCTTTACAACAGCTGGTCACCGGAAGCAGGGTCTTTCGCATCTCCTGACCCTTTGGCAGCTGGGCATGCAAAACACTTTGTTTGGCCAGGACCTGGGAGTCGGGGGCGTCGACGCGCATGAAGCGCATGTTCCAAGTCTTGGGTGACCTTACCACGTTTCGGATCCCAACAGGAGCGCGCAGCCGCGATGCCGAGACGCTTTGCACCACCGGGTTGAAGGGCTTCGCTGCTGGGAAGCAAGGCTACCGGGGCAGAATTGTCAGAGCGTGACATCCAGAATTCGTTCTTCGGAAGGCATTCAGACGTCCCCCCAAGATGGCCTCAGCCCTTCGACTTCGCTGCCTCAACCTCTCGTCGTCAAGCTCCGGCTGCAGCAGCCCGCCCCTGGGCCTGAAATGTTTGGCCTTTGCCTGTTTACTTTGTGTTCTTGTGCACGCTGCATACCTTTCCCCGGGCCAGGTGCCTTCCACGAAGCTTGAATCGGATGGTCTGCCGACGTGAAGCAAAAACGGCCAGTTGCTGTGTGGTGCATGTGAAGGGCTGCACATTTGCCAGGCGTCACAATAAGCTGTTGTCACTCTTGGAGACACGAGACAGAGGCGTACTGAAAGGTATCATTCTGCTTTTGGGTTTGCTGCTTGCCCTGTGCTCGGTTGAAAAGCATTTTGCTTCCAGGGACCAGAGATGGTATGACTTATACACGATGGGGTTGACATAGTTGACGCTGCACGGGTGGATTTGTTTGTAAGGATTCGGGATGAAAGTGTGGTTGGTGTCGAGTAGAGAATCGAAGTACAATCAAGCCATTCTCTTAGCAAAGGTGGATTTCATATCCTTGCTGACCAACTGATTAGCGCCTCATGACTTCAATTGCAAGATCTTCCATCTCCCTCGTTTGCAGTGAGCTTCTCAGCGATGTTTCCAAAGCTGCAACTCTGAGTATCTTGGCCCGTGCTTCGGAGAGGTTCTTCCCCCAGAAGGCTCGCTGCGACCGTGCCTCTTCATCGCAGTTCAGGAGTTCAGTGAGTCATAGCAGGGTTGCCGGTATGCTCGCTTTGGCTTCACATGCTTGAAAAGATGCACGGTATGGTGCTCCTTCAGGACTGTCCACGTCGGCCACAAGACGGGCTTCCACCGCAAATCTGGTTCGGTCTTCCCCTTGCATGGATTTGGATTTTGATGAGTGGGAGAACGGTGAGCTGCTAAACTGGAGGCCGGGCGAGGTGTGGGGTGGGCCCATCTCCGAGAAAGTCGGTCGCTTCCCCAGATGAGAGCCCGCTTTTCGGTGGATTTGTATTTTCTTTGCCTAGTAGACACACAGACTCGTAGACACAAGCACACAAGCTTTCAGTCCCAGTCCCGGTCTTCGAGGATCAGCGCCTTTAGATTGGAAGAGCCTCGGCTTCGAGTACGTCCCGACCAAGTCACACATTCGTCGCTGCCATAGAACGGTTTTAGTCATGAGTCATGCTCTGATGCTGACGTCCCAGACTGTTGCAGCATGATGCTAAGGCTTTGTGAGTCTAGCATGTTTACTCAAGAGATTAGCTGGAGACTCTGACGCATTGGTGTGGCACATGCCAGACCTGGAAGAACGGGGAGTGGAACACTGGCCACACATTCAGGGACCCGTGCGAGCTCAGACTCCAGTAGCAGCAAGTCAGACTTGCACCAGCGTGGCACATGTTTGTTGTGTGTTCTGCGCAGGTACCTACCTGTTCACATGCTTGCAAATGTCTTCCACTATGGTCAAGCTCTCTTCGAAGGCTTTAAAGGCTTGGGCACAAATCTGTAGTCAAATACCCAACAACACTGAAGATTTCATATTTAGTTATGTAAGCAGCTTGGGTCAATGCTCCGTGACAGGCTTCCATACAAAGCAAGGGGATGTGTGCCTGTTTGCAGACAGGTTGTGGCTCCCTCAGCGGTTCCACACGTGAACGCTGGAAAGCAAGAGTGGCCCGTTCAGAAATGCAGGAGCTGGGCGCGCATGAACCACGGGTGTCGACGCTTCCGAATACCGGAGGCGGCTTTTGCTGGTGGTACCAGTAGATGTTGCTCCTGCTGGCTGCTGGAGCATCTCCTTTGCAAGATCTCGCCGTCTGTCCACTCGTCCACTCCACCAGCCGTGCTTCCTTTGCTGTTAGATGGTGCGGTAGGATCCCTGAAGGTGCCTGTGCAAGTTTGGGATCGAGCTGTTCACGATGCGGTGGTGAGCTTACCGAAGCATCGTCACATCAGCCCGAGCAGCCGAAATGGCAGAAAGTTCTGCAGGTCAAGGACAATGTTGCCTACGTGCCACCGCATGGTGCGCTGTGGATGCAAGCCTTTTGCAGAGCCAGTAGTTCTAGGCAACGGCGCCTGTAATGCGCCTTGCGTTTTTATAGCTTGTTGTTGCGCGTTGCCAAAATCCTGGGAAAACGCACGATTTATAGCAAAACGCATCAAGCAGAAGGGCCAATTTCCCGAAACAGATAGGTGTTTTTTGAGGTTTACAGTGCTAAAAGCCAGGCGGCGGCAGCGTTTTCGCAGAGACTCCAAACGAAACTTTGTCAGGCCTTGCACCTCCCGCAGAGGCCGGCCAAGGCGTTATGCGCTTGTGAAAACGCGTCTTGTTCCACTGCTTGCACAGTACGTTGTGGCAAAAACGCTGTAAATGCCAGTGTTTTGGGCATGGTCGCCAAAGGCACGGATGCTTGTGACAACATGTCTTGCTCGACATCCTTGCGCGGTACGTCGTACAAAGATGCAAAACTGCTGTAAATACCGGTCGCCAATAGCAGTGACATGAACGTTATTAACTCCCGTCCACCCCACCCCACCCCAACCCCCGAACCCAAGAAGCCTGAAAGCTTCCAGACTAGCCTGAACGCAGGGCGTGTTAGGGGCGCCGTCACCTAGTTATAGTCTAGACTGCACCAAATGGGATGACACTGGGCGGGACAGCTCAGATACATTTGTTGAGAGAGGTGAGGCTTCAACATGCTAGTGATTCAGAATTTGAAGCCCCTGAAAAGCTGTTGGAGCACAGAGATAATGGCAAGCAATGTCCCTTTGCACTTGGTGTTTCCGTTTCAGGAACCAACGGAGCTCTTTATGTTCGCCCTTTTATCTTCGGGAGCGGTCCAAGGCTAGTGCCAAGCCAAAGTATGGCCGAGTGTGGGAGGCCTCGACTTTTGCAGAGGCTTGGCCTGGGCCCTTCCCCGGAGTACACCTTCGTGGTCTTCGTCAACCCAGCTCGGAACTTGCAACAACGCTGCAAAGATGTCTTTGCGAGCAGCTGCACGAAAGGTTGGCAGCTACTACAAGAACGAGGAGGGAGCAATGCAAGCACCCTGCTCAGCTGCGCAAGCGACGCGAATCGAAAAAAAGTGTGTGAAACGGGATGGCTAGATGGTCTTTGAGAGCTTCTTACGCATCCGATTCTTTACAATCTCTTGCCGGCAGGCCCTGGATGGGCTTGTGAATGACTCTTACGACCGAGCTGCACCTCTTGGGCACCGTGGTCGCAGATTCTATCTCCAAGCTTGGGCAATGCACGGCATTGTTGTCAGGTGTGGAGATTGCAAAGCTGCTGGGAACTATGCTGCTGACCTCGAGAGCATGTACACATCGAAAAGGACCAATGCGTTTTGTCCAAGCATGTCGTGCATGTAAGTCGCTAGGCTACCGGATTTGCTCGATTGCTTGTGCCAGGAAGGGCTATCCTATCAGCCTGTACCTGGATGCTGTCGAGCGACGGTACATCGAGGAGTTTAACACCTCAAACTTCGTGGCTATCACGAAGGACGCTGTGAAGTTCACATCTTCGTGACGTGCTTTTGTCGGAATGGTTTTCACAAGGACGGGAAGTACATCACTCCAGATGCGCCGCGGAGCGTCTTGAATAGCAACACAAACAAGGCTGATGGGGACACTAATGTGGCGCAGTGTTTAGTGGCCCCCCAATTTCCGGCTGCAAAATCGTACAGCGGTACGCTGGTACAGGTACCACCTAGAACCCCTCCATAAAGCCCTGAGGAAGGCTCCAAAAAGTTCTTTGAGATTGACCATTAGCAGAAAGGAAAGGCAAACGAAACGTATTCGCCGTTATAGATCACGGCCAAGAAGTTGCCACGTTCTGCATACTCCCCCGGAGAAACGTACTATAGAGGCCCACTCTATTGCACACAGTGCCGCACTAGTGCGAAACGCCAACTTCAAGTCCAAACAAAAGAGCCGTGCAACATAACGAGCAGGTGTTGCTGCAGCTTGCCGACGACATGTCAATTCCGGTAGAGCCTGAGACTGAAGACTGAGAGACTGAGAGAGAGCTGCTTGCAGAGACTTAAAATTGGACACCATGTCGATGCCCAGGCGCCGTCGCATCGACTTTGAAGCTGAGGCGCACAACAGCATAGCAGCATAATGGCGCAGCGGCCGACATACTTCTTAAGATATCCTCCGACTCCTCCAAGTCTATCTGCTTCCCTTAATCCAGGTTGACAACTTCGCAGAAGTCGGAGCTGTTGGCACTGCCGTGGTTGTCACGCCCATTCGGTGCGCGTCTGGGACGTCTGCAACGGCTGCGAAAGTCAGGGCATGCTCGGAGTGTGTAGATTCCTCTGACACCAATGTCAGAGACGGTACACAGGACACTCTGTACTCTGCTGCTGATTTTCCATCTGAACTGGCAAGCATGTCAGAGGGGACAAGTTTGGATTATTGGTGTCGCTTTGAAGTCTCGTGGTCGATGCTGAGGTCCTTGACACGTGGAGATCGGACTTGGCATTTTCAAGAGCCTCAGGCCATCGCATACCTAAATGTGTTGGAGACGACATATTGCAAATCCTGTTCGGAGCGTGACGTGTTATCCTGCCAGGTCCTACGCCAGCTGCGAAACAGGCTCCCTTCGACTGTGTCCTGGGGATTTCTGCGGTTCCCAGAATTGCCATGACTGGTGCATCGCAGGGTACGGGCGATCCAAAACGGCGAGGTCAAAGACCCGCGTGGTACCAAGGGCCAAGGGTGATTCCTCCCTGCAATTCCGGGCTTAGCAGAGAAATTGTTGGCTGGAAAGCACGGACAGCGCACTGCCAGAGTCCCTTGCCGAGTCATGGCTGGATGCGGAGAGTGCAGCTAGAAGACGTCGGGGCCCAACTTCGGGCCCTGCTGTGTAGCTTCAGCGATGGATGTTGGACGGCAGCCGAGGCACAGCCACAGTCGTTCCTCAGCGTCTACCCAGGTCGGCATAGATGTGGCTGTTGATGCGGAAGTGTGGCAGTGCCATTTCTTCTTGGCTTCGGAGCCGACAAATCTCTTCAGCCGTGCATTGCAAGGCCTTTGACATTGCAAATCCTTCGGGATGAGGTCCTTCCCAGCAGTGTACCTGACAACGTGGCATGTGCACACACCGTTGTATTGGCAGGTTTCAGTTCTCTCTGAGGGATTTTTAATTTGTTTGAGAAGTCTCTTTGAATTCGTTTTGGTCTTGCACGGCTTTTGCTCACTGGCGCGGCTTCAGAGAAGCTCAATTCGTGTCGTTCTCAGAGGCGGCAGCGGCGGCATCCGGACGGTTGGTCCACCGCCAATATTCGCAGAAGTTACAGCAGTTCGCCAGCTGTTATGGTGGCCGTAACTTTAGCAACTTTAGCTACGTTTCCCGTGGTCTACTACCATGCTCTGCGAAATGAGTGCCGGAGAGAGCTGGAAGCAAACCTGATTGAGACAGTTGAAGGTATGCATGGGGGTAAGGACGCCATGTGTGTTCGAGCTTTCGGGCTGTATCACAAGGAAACAGACATCGTATCACCGGAAGTGCCGTGGCGGCATTGTCGATAGCAGCAGCAGCAGCAGCTTCTTGATATTCAGATGGAGGTGTTAAATTATTTTCTAGAGCTCGCACTTGCGAAGAATCTCCAGCAAGTCTTCAATATCAACAAAAATATAGCAGTTGTTTGTTCACCGCAGCCATGTCGCTTTTTGCGGCGAGTCCGGCTCTCGGGAACCTATCTCTTGGATGTGTGGATCAAAGCTTATCCAACGGAGCATGAGTGTACGTTGCAAAGGCTTCGATACGCTGAAGAAGCGGACCACGCAGTTACTGGATAATCTGGACAAGCAAAAGGACCGGGATGACCGGGGCCGGGTTTTCCCGCTGAGCCACACTGGGGCCGAGGGCGATTTTTGACCGCGTGCTCGTCAGGATGACAAGAGTGCGCCGGAGACACAGGCAGCGGCTTTTGCCAGGGTTGCCGCCAGCTCCGCTGGTATTGTTTGTTGTTTCAAAGTGCCTGTTGAGAAGGATCTATCTGCTTCAAGCAGCTTGCAGAACTCGCTTCTCCTTCACAGCCCTGATCCCTGCTGCGGGGTGGTGGGTTTGGCGTTGACCCCACTGTGCCGATGTGGGGTGGAGGATGGTCAAAGTGCATGTCATGTTGCTGTTTCTGCAGATAGGCCTTCGGGATATACCCATTGTCTCAAATTATGGTAACACTCTTCCCATGCCCTCTCGATCGGCTCTTCACACTTATTGACAGCTAGTCCAACAAGTCAGAAGCTCCGGCAGCTTGAGAACACAAGGAGCAAGACGGAGCCACCTGCCGCGGCCCAGACTTCAAAACTCCCTGGTTGTCTCAGCTGGCCGCGGTTCACTCTCTGTTGAAGCAAAAAAGAAGATAAAAGTATTCTTGGTGAGCCTGGAGCGCATGCACGGCGACATCCTGCCTGCGCTGTCTGGTGCAGGACTCTGGCATCGACATTCCGTATCCCCAGGCGGCGGGACATCACATCAGAGTCGTTGAAGTTGTGGCAAAGCGGATGTACTTGAACTTTAGCTCGTGTGACTGTAGTTCTTTGTGCGTGGCCCGAGACAGAGGTCTATGCCTGCAAAGGCACTCAAGTGCCTTGCGTGCGAGCATAGACCTCAAACAGCGCAAGACCACCAAGCATTCCAGACCCGACGATTCTTGGACTTGGAGCCGTAAACACCAGTCGTAAGCGATTCGGCGCGGACTGTGGAGGGACCAGGAAGCGTGATTTCGGGCGGCGGGCAGGGGCTTGGAAGAAGACCACAGCCCAAAACACACAAGGCAGTATGACGTGAGCCGAATGTCGAGTTCACGGCAACGTAAGACTCCTCGGAATGACGGGGTTTCGAGAGTGCACCAAGGAGCCCAGAGGATACCGAGAGCGTGGCCCTTCTACTAGATTCGTTAGGACTTCAGTGACTTCGAGCGCTTGCAAGGCAAGACTGTTCGCAGGACTGTCGTCTGAGTACGATTTCCGCCCAAACATCCGCACGGCACTGTGGCGGGCCGCTTTTGTCCCGCGATGTTCGTCGAGAACGTGAGCTCCGCCACAGCGGGACCACGTGCTGGTTCTATCACTACTCACCCAGCGCTACCACCCCAAAGTGTAATCATGGCACGACTTCGGGAAAACGTCTGCAGCACGTCCGAGCCTGGTCTTCCCTGAGGTGGCTGCAGCAATGGGCTGTCGTGAGGACAGCATCCTCGTGAGCTACGAGGCTGGAGACACTTCGTGATTGCCCTTGTCGTACTAACCCCGCACTTCAGGTTCAGAACGACGCCAAGGACCGCGAAATGGCCCTGTACGTCATGCCCCTTGGAGCACCCGGCTTGGCTTTTTGACACGAAGGCTGAGGCCTGATGCTTGTAGGACTCTCCTGAGATGAAGACTTCAAGGGGAGTTGCACATCTAAGCTAGAGGGGTAAGAAAGAGCAAACGGAGTCATTGGTTGTGCAGTGGGATTTGGGGGAGGGTTCAATTTGGAGCTTTAGGTGTCACGGTCGAACCAGTTTGGCATTGCCAGGAGGTGCAATCAGTGTCACGGTCGCGATGGTCTGCTACCTTTGGGTCACAGTGGGTGCTGCATGCATTCCAGCACGTGTATTGCTGCATGATACATTCAGGTGCGGGCTTCGTTTCCATTGCCTGGCAATTACCATCTTCGATTCAAGGCACTAGAGTCACTAGAAAGAGTCACAGTAGGACTTCAGAACCAATCCCTTCGTTTCAACCAACAGGCGCCAACGGCAGACGGATCCTTCGGCGGATGGGTGTGGATAGACCTAGCCGTTGCCTGAGCTTCGGATTGCGGCTTGGCCTGCGAATCCCATCACAAGACCGCCCCAGGCCTCCGACCAAGACCTCGTGCCGGTGTTCAACGGCGGCGTCGCCGTGAAGGATCCTGGGCCTAGGAGTGGCGAAGCTTGGCCAAAGTAAGGGCCTTGAATGCAAGGCCTTGCGATTGCCGGATGGCAGCCCTGGCAGCCCAAGTCGCGTGGTGGCCTCGGTGCGATTTGTCGTGCACGGAGTCATGTTGGGATTCGACAGGCTCCATCCCAGGCTTCCAGGAGTCGACCTGCCACCTCCGCCCAGGCACCCAAGCGTGCAACAGACGAGAGAGGATGAGAGAAGAGCCCGGCAGAATGCAGGGAGCCTCTCCACACGGCGTTGGGGACCTGATGGAGCTGGACCTCTCGAAAGCTTCGCACAAGGATGCCCAGGCCCAGGCCAAGGCGCCCGTGCCCCAACCACCGGCCTGGCCCCAAGCAGCGACGCCCAGCCCCAGCAGTGGACATCAGTGGAATTTGGAGCACTTGAAAGGTGCAGCTGGACAGGGCAAAGCTGGCCCCTCCCTCAGCAGGGCACGTTGGCATAGCACTCCAGGCTTGCCCGTGTGATATGAGGACCGGTGTTATAACGCAGAATCACAGCCGTAACGTGCAGAGAGACGAAAGTTGGTTTGGCGAGGCATTTGTGATCTTCTGGCTCCATAGGGCCATAGGGTCATTTTCAGGGTTTTCATCGCGATCGTTGAGGGCTCTGCTCGAATCATCTCGAATCTCACAAAAGTAAACAAGTGGCACAGTAATCCCAGTAATAGTAATGATGGGAGCCAGGCCGTCGTCAGGGCTGCAACACACGACCTAGTAATTGGGGCTAAGCGGCCAAATGATACCAGGTCGCCGAACGGCAGGCCAGAGAAAAGCGCGAGTACGAGGAGAAGATCAAGAGGTGCACACTCCAAGTCTGAATCCTTTGCTCTTCGGCTCTTTCTCTTGCCGGTGCCCGGAGGCATGAAGAGCAGAAGAAAAGCTGCCTGATAGCAGAGCTGGCTGCATCCTCTGCAGCATGCAAATCGGGCTTTGCTGGTGCACATCCAAGGAGATGCACAGTCCAAGAAGGAGAAGCTCGAGCTCAACGATGTCCTGTCTAAGGAGTTGAACGACTGGGCCTAGACCTCATATCTGACATTGCACAACACTTTACGACCAGAAAGACTTGCGCACTCTAAGTGTGAATTTGGAGTCCCGAACGGCGGCTTTCTGATTGCCTGACAACGGCTTGATTTCCGATGATGATTGTAAATGACCGGTAAATGACCGCGGAAGAAGGCGAGACGCAGGATGACCGAAGAGATCGCCGTTGGTCTATGGTGAGAGTTGTTGTTGCACGATGCCACAGCCAGCCTTCAATTAAGTCTGGAGCAGGGCTCCAATAACACAGGTGACGGGCAGGGCTCGGTTTTGGGAGGGCAAGTGTGTACTCGGACGTCGGCTGTTAGCTGTCAGCCACACGGGCAGTCTTTTGCTGGGTTTGGGGCTGCGCTTCATGGATGTTTTGCCTACATGGGTTTTTGGACCAGAACTCGTTTGAGCGAACGTTTTATGGCGATTGAGAGGGGGCCTGTCAAAGGCCTTCCACCCACCTGCCGTTCACTTGCCTTCGGAGCCAAAGGGGTCACCTGAGACTGGTTGGGTGGATTCCGGTTGTTATCCAGCCATGTTGACGGGTGACCCCCGCAAAGAGATCAGGCGAAGACGCCCGACGGCCAGTCCTACAAGGAGATCAGGAGCCATCCCCCCTGGAGTGGCTTTCGATTCTCGCCATGAGTTCTTCCAGCTGAAGGACGCTGCTGAGCACCATGCACTCCGTGACTTGGGAGGGTGCAAGTCTCCGACTCGGTGCCAACCACCCCTAAAACCTTGAGTCCAACCTATCCAACCTCGCCCCTCCTCAAATGGTCTGCTCAGGTTGGCAGCCCCTGAGCTTGTCGGAGTCGACCTGCCGCTCTTAATCTCCTTTGCGCTCTTTTGGCCACTCTCTTCACTCATTCACAGGTTAGTGGCAGACAGCAACATCAAGAAGCATTACCGCAAAGCTATCCTCATGGCTTTTCACTCAGCCTTCCACTTCTGCGAGCAGGTATGCGTGCAGGGTACTGCAGTCTTTGCGTAAGAGCAGGCTCATCCAGATCGCCATCAGTCCGTCAACTCCCCAGACTGCGAGAACTCCCGTTCGAATCTTGCGACCATGTCATGCGCCGGGGTGCTGCATGCATTTGCTGTTGCTCAGAGGAGTTCAGAGTTCACTGCTCCGTCTGAGTCTCTCAGCCTTCAGGCCAGTTCGGAGCAGCAGGTCCGAGCAGATCGCATCTTCAATGCCATGTGCTTGGCTCCCGTCACACGGTGGATACATGTGAGGCGACTATGTAAGTAATGGTCGTGAGGTGTCACAAGTGACGGTGTCTCTCTGTGTGTGTGTGTGCGTGTGTGTCTGTTGTGTTGATAGAGCTGCTGGTGGCGGAGCTATTGTTGGCCGGCGCAGCGCTATTGCCACTGCTGATGTTGCCTCAGGCTTTGAACGAGTCCTTCAAGTCCTTTACAAGCTCCTGACATGCTTGCAAAAAGGTTACCTGCACCTGCTGCCTTGCTTTTGTGCGTGTGATGACAGCTTGCCGGACCTTTCAAAGTCTTGTGTCGGCACATTGCTGTGCTCAAGCGGTAGCGCGCCATCAGTATCGTCCGGGCAGCTGCAAGGACAGCCTAGCTTCTTTGCCTAGCAGCTCTTGTAGGTGAGGACATACCTGCATAGGAGCCGAAAGCAAGACGCATCATGGACATCGACCTGCTCAATCCCGATGTCAAGGAGGATGCCAGTTCTTGTTTGGTTATGTCCCGCAGAGACATCGTGGGCTTTGGGAGATGCTCTGCCAGGAGAGGTCAAAGCACAAGCTGAAGCGAATGATCCAGTCTCCGACTCGCGGCATGACGTGTGGAGACGAGCGAAGACTTTGAATTCCCCGCACTTTCGTTTTACTGATCTTGACGGTCTTGGGTTACCAGGAACAGCTTCTTCATGGACGTGAAGTGCCCTGGGTGCTTGCAGATTACTACTGCCGCTCGGCTGCACGCAGGGCTGCCACAGAATTGTAATGCCACTCCTGGTGTCTCTCTGCGTGTGTGTGTGTGTGTGTGTGTGCGTGTGTGTGTGTGTGTGTTTGTCTGTGTCTGTGTGTGTGAGCGCGACTCACCTAGGTCTTCAGCCACGCTCAGACCGTCGTGTTGTGCGGCAATTGCAACGTGATGTTTCCTGGAAGCAAGAGAGCATCATGCAGCAAGGCGGCACTCGTGTTCTCGGAGAGTTCAGAACGACGAGAGGCTTTGCCAGCCCACGGGTGGTCTTGCCCGGCTTACGGAGACTTGGCAGGGTGCTGGCTTTGTCGAATTCATGTCGCGCTGGTTGTCCGGCGGTGTTGCTGCAGCAAGTGTTACGTCGATCTTCAGCGACACCTGAGGAGGGCTGCTCGTTCCGAAAGAAGACCGACTGATGAGATTTCTCACCGTTTAGATGGTCAAGCTGATGGGACAAACGATGGTGCCAGACAAACAGACAGGCAGCAGGGACTGGGTCGTCTTGACCTCCTTCTTTTGAAACCTGAGTGAAACCTGCATGTATATGTTTTTAATAGATCTCACTGCTTTTCTGAGAGAAGTGTGCATCGCGTTAATTTTGTGGCCTTGTGACCTTGCTCGCATTTGCGATATTAACATATATTAACCGGGATTACCAGGAGCTTGATTCCACGTCTACGCTATTGCATGCCTCGCCCAGGCCCATGGCACTCGTATCTACATACGGTCGTCACGCCTGGTTGTTCCTAAACGGCACTCCAAAAGCAAAGCTATAAATATTAGAGATGCTACTTCTCAACACTCAACAGCAGGATTAAGTTGCTGTTCGATTTCTCGTTATTGCAAGCGAGAATGATAAGCTGTATCATTAATGCCATAAGACATAGGTTTGAAGACTTGTAGTGATTGCTGTAATTGGAGCTTGGATGCGTTGACCCAGATTCTGCATGTGCCTAGTCCCCGGTCCTTGTGCATGAACCCGGAGCCACAAGCCTGACTTACATAGGATGTTTATGTCTTCGCTCCTAACAAATAGCGAAAGTCTTTGAACTTTCCAACCCGAGTCACTTGCGCTCCGTGACCTTGAATACTGAATTTCCGAAACATCCTGACTGGCTTGACTTCTTTACACTTTTCAGGTCGAGCGCTTAAGCCCTCAACCCACCTGCCAATACACGACCCCGCCCCTCTGACTCAATGTGCTTCGTCAGGGTTTTCGTTTTGCCATCACTGTTCAAGCTTGTTGACTTGCCCTGCCCTGTGGTAGCTTGCCTTTTCCTCCTACGGTCGGTCCTTTCAACTACTCACATAACCTGCCATGTCGGCGGTCTTCGTGAGCGGCTTCGACTACAACACCCCCATCAGCACGGTGCTTCTCCACTTCAGCACCATTGGGATGGTCAAAGGCGCTCGATTCGTCGGCCAAGGAGAAGCCGTCGTGACCTACGTGTCTCGGCTACCAGAACGGTGCAGGGTTGTGGGTTTCATCTGTTATTACATCTTTCGTTGCGGTCTGCACGATTGTTGTAAAGTTGGTCCGTTTCTCAACCGAGCAGATAGGAGGTTGGTGTTTCAATCCCATCTTGTTGCGGCTTCGAGGAATCGTCAGAGGCCGCGGGCCGTGCAGTGATTGAGCTCGACCGCAGCAGCTAATCTGCCAGTTGCTGCCTTGTAATTTCTCGACATTGGGCCCAAATCCCAAATACCAATAGAGGCTTAGTTAACTACCCTGAACTTCTCTCTGCGTCTGGGCCTCGTGCCGAGACTTTGAAGAATTTCCCGCTTATAGCGCAGTTGCAGGAATTAAGGGTGAAATAATCCAGGGCTCAGTTCTCCGAATCGGGACCCCGCGTGAGGCAGCTGTGTTGCTACAAGCAAGAGCAGAACCCTGGAGCCCCAAAGCCAGGCAGTCATGATCTCGGTAACAACAGATGATTTTTCTACAATCTACTATCTTTTGTAAGATTCTAAGTAACTCCAGATGTTATAGTATAACAATGCAAGTTCTTCTGTATTCTGATCACCTGTTATCAGGTGTATCAACGTATCAATAATTCTTTGAGTGAGAAGCAGCACAGTACCAGCTATGGTAGTCATACTCACATTTCGCTATGCTAAGGCTGCTAAAGAGTGAAAAGGAATAGCTCATGAGACATCCAGAATCCCATTCAGGTCACATGCTCCCGAAGCCTAGAGCCCAGGCACGATGCAGGGCAACCGACGGTATGTCACCGTGAGGATCGACCAAGGGGGCAAGGGCAAAGGCCGGGTTCTTCCGAACACAAAACTACAACGCAGAACCCAAAAGGGTGACCCCTTTCTTAAACCCTAAACTGCCTAAACTCTTTAAGCTTTGGGTTGTTGGAAGGCAAGGATGGAAAACATGGCAGCGTCATAGCCGGGTACGGCAAGGGCTACGACAGAGGCCATGGCAAGAGCTTGGGAAAGGACAAGGGCGGAGGCGCCCCGGCTCAAAAGAGTTGACCTAGCTTCGGTTCGGTTGCCCATGCACTGAGACAGAACCCCAAACCCTTAGCTCTGGCGCTGGTTGTGGCAAGAAGCCAGAGCCACATCCAACAAGGAAAACGGAAGCCCAGTGCTACGGTCACTGGAAGGCTTTGTGAATATCCAGGATCTTGATTTTCACCTGAGGAGTACATATCCAAAACAGCATGAACACCAGCAGTAGTCCTTAGAATGCAACCACGTCACTGAAGAGATGGCGGACGAAGGCCAAGGGGTGGTAAGTACCCAGCAAGGGGCTGGCCTAGGATGTGGGGGTACCGAAGACACTGCGGAGGTCTCACGCCCTGTTGAGCTGCTGTTGGTTCAGCCTCCTACTGGATGCTCTTTTGAACTTGGCAGGTCTACTAAGCTTCCCATCTAAGCCCCGACAGTGCTCCCCACAACTCAACTCACACATACTGGCGTTCGAAGTCACAAGAGCATTTCATTACAGAGCCCTTATCGTAAAAGGTACTCATACAAGACGGGTGCGCATCAGACCCCATGATTTTTGAAAGCCCTACGCAAACACCAAATCCGAGAAAACTTCTTGGACCAAATACCGTACAACCGTAGGACTCTGTTCCAAACACAAATGTTGCGATGACCACCAGGGCCGACCTTCGGCGTTTTAGTCATCGGGATACTCCTCGCGGTGGTGCTTGAGTTGCTGTGCAGGGCTTGGGATTTAGGGTTTGGGAGTTGGGGCTTTTTTTCAGAGATGGGGGTCTAGGATGTGGGATGCGTGGATTCTAGAATTCGCAGTTCGGGACTCGGGAATTTCGTGCAGCCACACCGCCGGAGTCCCGAAGCTCTTAAAGGCACTTCCTCAGCACCATTGGGCCGATTCGTCGGCCAAGGAGAAGCCGTCGTGACCTACGTGTCTCGGCTACCACAACGGTGCAGGGTTGTGGGTTTCATCTGTTATTGCATCTTTTGTTGCGGTCTGCACGATTGTTGTAAAGTTGGTCCGTTTCTCAACCGAGCAGATAGGAGATTGGTGTTTCAATCCCATCTTGTTGCGGCTTCGAGGAATCGTCAGAGGCCGCTGGCCGTGCAGTGATTGAGCTCGACCGCAGCAGCTTATCTGCCAGTTGCTGCCTTGTACTTTCTCGACACTGAGCCCAAATCCCAAATCCCAAGAGAGGCTTAGTTAACTACCCTGAACTTCTCTCTGCGTCTGGGCCTCGTGCCGAGACTTTGAAGAATTTCCCGCTTATACCGCAGTTGTAGGAATTAAGGGTGAAATAATCCAGGGCTCAGTTCTCGGACCCTATTCAGAGGGTGCCGGGCTAGAGTAGATCGTTTCGGGTCTGGCTTTCGGCTGCCTGCTGGAACGCTTTGGGACAACCCCCGTGAGGCAGAGCGGAACCCTGGAGCCCAAAGCCACGCAGTAAAAGTCATGATCGTAAAAATGATTATTCTACAGTGCACTATCTCGTTTAATGTGAATTCCAAATGAGGTCATTTAATGTCATAATGCAAGTTCTTTCATATTCTGATCATCTGATCAAGGTGTATCATCCTGTGTATCAATAGTTCATTGCGTGAGATGTAGCACAGTTCGCGTAAAGGTAGTCATACTCATAATTCGTTATGACGGTTATGCTAAGGAGTGAAAAGGAATAGCTCATGAAACATCCAACTTGACCGTGCTGCTGCTCAAATCCCATCCAGGTCACATACTCCCAAGCCTAGAGCCTAGGCACCATGGAGGGCAACCGACGGCACTTCAAGGGCTACGACAAGGGCTATGGTAAGAGCTTCTATGGCAAGGGAAAGGGCAAGGGCGGAGGCGCTCCGGCTCAGAAGAGTTGACCTAGCTTCGGTTCGGTTGCCCATGCACTGAACTGAGACAGAACCCAAACCCTTGGGCTGAAGCCCTAAAGTCCCATGCAATGCGGGCCTTAAACTCAGAGTGTCGGGGATTCGCTCCCTCAGCAGTCGAACTGACGGGGTTTTCTGGCAGGTGATCCCTTCTTGCGGTTTCTATTCTTCCATGGTATGGTCTCGTGTCCGTCATTGGGTCGCTTTGGACTTTGGAGGCAGCCAATTAAGATTTAGGGGTGTGGGTGGGGAGGGTTTGGGCTTCGGGCTCTACGTAGTCGGCCTCTCCCCGCATCCGACCTGCAAGTCCCATGTCCCAAGCGCCCTGAACCTCAGACCGCTCAAGCAAGACCCCAAAGGAGGACGAGACCACTTCTATGGGGAGATGGAAGATGCTCTCGTTGCGACATCCGACTTCCGGGACCTCGGGAATCTGGGGGAGTACGCTGGCTTTGCTTCTACCACGGCAGAGCCTTGGATGTGCGTCGGCATTTGCACATTGGAGACACCCCTTACTGAAACAAGTCCCACCAGAGATAGCTAGAAACCGCAATACCCTGGAGCTCCAAACTCCGAAACCGTGAGACCCTACAGAACTTTGCATTCCACTGGAGGTATTGGGTCTCATACTTGATACGTTTGTGTACGCGGTTTCGTTTCAGCCGGTTTTGTAAGGAAACCGTTAAATAAGTTGTGTGATAAGGGCCCGATCCTTGAACGATCTCTTGGCTTAGGTTAGTCAGTAGTACCTACGGTGTGTAAAATTGGTTATGCGGAGTCCTGTCCGGGTTTGAATTTTACCCTAATGCTAAAGTAGACCTGGAGACCCGAAAGAGCGCTCAAGGAGAAGGTTGCGCGCTTGAACTAGTAGCGGCTTAACATCGGGGCTTCAGTTCAGCATTGTGAAGTATGAGACAATATAGTGTAAGAAAACAATTGCCGGAATCACAAAGGAACATATACAAAGCGAGAATATGATGTAAGACAATAGAAGCGGATATGAGTTAGAAGGAGGATAAGCCTTAAATCCTGAACCTTTCAAGGTCGAGCAAAGCCGATTCAGTTGGGGGTAAGCCTCCCTACTGCGACCTCTGATCCTTAAGTCCGGGCCTTCGGGGTTCAGGGTAAAGGGGCTAAGGGTTGAGGGTCTTCGGGGACAGACGTGAAGGTTTCTGATTAATGGTCCAGGAAAGTTTGGTCACCCGGGATTCCGGGATATTGATATCTTTTGAACGCGTGGGCCGAGCTGAAACCGAGGTTGAGGATTCAGGTTGGTCACAGGCGTTGTCAGCTTTTGGCACTTCGGGCCTCCAGCGGTAAAGGCATGAGACGGCTTATGATGGCCGTCTGAGGGTGGGATGTCTTCGCAAGTACGAAGAAGCAACTCAGACCCTAAAGCCCTAAGAAGCCACAAGCTCTACAACAACACCCAGGAAAGACTCCCTAAACACTAAGCCTGATCGAAAGCCCGAGGATGATCGCTGTGCCACCATGAATACCGAAGGCCTGTTTTTGCCATTGTAAGGGTTTGGGCATTTTTTGGGCTTAGGGCTGCGGGTTGATGCTTTTGCTGCCTTTCAGCAGTGCGCTGTTTGGCGTTGAAGTCACAAAGTCTGAACGAGGGCATGAATGCTCTAAATTCATAATTCATAGATCCCATTAGGGCATGCGCATGGACAGATTTGTACGCATTACATTCGTTATTCCAAGTTGTTGCTTATCGGTAAGTGAGACGATTGTATTCTTGCAGGTGCATGAATCGGCATGGTAGTCCCCACGCGTCCAGAGTAGTTTCACGACGTCCCTCAACGTCAGGAGCAAGGTCAATATGACCTACTCGTACCTACAGTATTGCAGTCTCCAAGTCGTCGTATAAGGATGATGCACAGATCACTGTCTACCTAGGCCAACCCGGCCTCCATGGAAACTTTGTAGTGGTCCACTTAGCTATGTTACCCGACGTAACTCTGAGTGATCTAAACATGAGCTGAAGAGCCTGAAAACAAATGTAGCTGCTCGCAGGTCCGGGGCCGCTTCCGAACTTGCTCCCGCGTCGCACCGTTCAGGACGTGCAGATTTTTCGAAGTCTTTCTCTTTATAGGTCGACAAGCATTCTTTGGAGCAAAAGCTCCAGCCTCACCCGGATGACTGCCGCAGCATGCGGGGGGGAAGTGGGGTGTTGTCCGCTGATGCTTGGGAGCTGCCTCAACCAGGGGATGCCACTAGCACTAAGGTTGCTGTTCCCGTGCGAGCCTGCACCAGCCTGCAGCTAAGTTCGTGTCATAAGTTGCCTAGGTGGGCAGACCTCAATCTACCCCCCTCCCCATAGTTACCGTAGTTCTAGTCAGAAATCGCACATGGCGCCACCGGGACCCGACGCAGGCTCACATGCAGCAGTTCTTGGCAGTTGAGTTATTTCGACGGATAGACAGATAAGGAGGCAACCAGGGGAGGTCCCGCGCAAGTCCCACGAGACCAGCAAACGATGCTGCAAGACTTGCGTGAGCAAGACCGGCGGCTAGCTCTGGTGACGGAGTGGTCGTAGAAACTGAATGGTCGTCGAAGTCACAGTCCTAGCCGTCCCGATTGAGTCAGAACAGATTTCGGGTTCGGGGGTTGCCGGTTTTGCGATCTCGGGGGTTTAAAGTTGTGAGTGTTGGGGGTGTTTCAGTCGCCTAGGGTTGACACTAAGACTTTAGGTTCTGTTGTGGGGTTCTTAAGGGAGGGGGGTTCATCGGGGTAGGAACCTTAAAGAAGCTTGGGGAGTAGTAGGGAGTATTAGGGAACCTTGGGTTACCTACCCCCCTTTGAACCCCGCTCCCTTAAGAACCCTATAATTCTCTTCGCGCATTGTACAGACTTAGTGCAACTGTTGGCTGCGACAGACGCACATTTCTGGTACCACCGACGATGATAAGCACCGCTGTAGGCCTTGAAATAAATCAGAAGGGTTGCTGAACCCGCCCGACACCCCTTGGTAATCTCCCGTTCCTGCGTATTCCGTGACCGTAAAGCCTAGAAGAGTGGAATCGGAGCATCATACCTCCGGTTTCTCTTTCTGTTCTCACCTGGCAATAATGGGAAATGTTTGGAACGAAAAGATGTTGTACTATACTAAAAGGCACTAGTAGTATACCGTAGTATACGAGCATGTACTTACATTTGCTACAACCTACTTGCGATATGCTCTACTTCAAACTTCCTACTGGAGGAAGGCGGAGCTTCGTCTTCTGGCAGCAGCGGTTCAGGGCAGTTCAGGCTGGTTTTTGTGCTTGGAGGTGCATGGAGTGGTGGGGCCAGGCTTCCTTCAAAAAAAGCGTGTAGCCACAAAAAAGAGACACTGCCAATTCGGGTCTCCAAAGTATGGTAGGTATACTCTGAAGGGGAACCAAGAAGAGCGCGACTTCGGCAACCTTCGTGCCAGCTTCTCCCAAACCAGCAGCACGACCGGGATGAAGGGTTTTGCAAGAGTGTTCTCACCGAGAAGTGTATGTTTTCGAGGAATCTGAAGGAATACAGCCGAGGTTGGAATATCCGATGCCAGATGCATTCACTAGGCAGGCACAAGGCATGCATCCTCGAGCTGGTGTGCAGTCGAAGAAGGAAGCACCAGCTCTATGAAGAAGATAGGTGAGTACAAGCTGCAGCGATAATCCATGGTCCCGACTCGACAAGCTGCCAGCCGAATGAAACCAGGCTCAAGAGACCCACGAGCCCGAAACCCCAAAGCCGCAGAACCCTAAGCTGACTCCCACCCTTCAGGCCCAAACTCCACACGAAGGACGAAGCGCTCAAGCTCGGGCGCAAGGATGGTGGCCCGGGCAGGGTTTTGTCAGCTCCAGGTCGCCCATGTTTGCGCATCAAGGCCTGCACCTCGGGCCACCTTTCCCGATGACATCCTTGCCTCCCGCTCTGATGATTCAAGAAGAGTCGGCCTTGTCCACAGCGTACTGGAGATGCATGCTCATCACCACATTGCGAGTGATTTGACAATAGGGACGCCGGTCTTTTGGATGGACGTTTCGCATAAGTCGTGATCTGAGAAGTTTCTATCGCAACTTAACCATGCAGGACCCTATTGCCGCCTTGAAAATCGTGCAGGCCGCTGCAACCAGGGTGTACGGTTCTGGCATGTGATAAGGCGAGGTAGGAAACTTCGATCTAAACCCATGTCCCCCAATGTCCTCAAGCTTTGGATCCCGAAACCGCAACGCATCTCGAAACCCGAAGCAACAGGATGCGCTGGCCAGCAGACGTGCCTCGATCTCCAGAGTTCTGGAGGGGTTGGGTTCAGCAGTTTGGGCTGTGAGCGTTATGGGCGCAGGTAGTTCACAGTAATTGGTGAGAGTGTGTGTGTGTGTGTGTGTGTGTGTGTGTTGGTGTGGGTGGGGTGTCCTGGGGTTCGGGCTGTGGCGTAAAGATGCCCAACATACTCTTTTTCACGGGTTACAGTCCGGGTTTGATAATTACCAAAGGTTGACTCGAACAAGTGCGCAAGTGCATCACAGCTTAATACTAGAATGCAGCCTAGAATGGGTTGTTCTCCTGGTGACGCCTTCAACATTGAATGGACTCCGCCGACACCCACTGACTGCTGAAAGGTGTAAAAAGCAACATCGTTTGCAATACACCCTGATTCTTTACACCCGCAACTCTAAACCCCAGGTTTCTGAGGGAAACAACTTTGCTAGTTTGGAGTAAAGCCAGAAAGAACCTTAAATCATGAACCCGACCCAACACGCCTTCAGCGAGTGCGCGAGTCAGAACCCTAAAACCTCGAAGCTGGCACCAAATGATCTTAATATTACATGAAAGCAGATGGTGTCCAGTTTGAAGGTGCTGGGGGCAGTCATTCCAGGGACTCCAGAAGCTGAAAGTTTTTCATTGCTGACTACGGGCCCTGCTGATCAAAGGCATCCATAGAGTCTAGCAGCTGCCCTCTTCTGTCGTTGGGCTGACAGGGGTCTTTCAGATTCAAAGGCGACCGGCCTCTTGGATCGGCTCGGGAGGGAGCTTGTTTCGGACTTCTTGTACATATTTTAATTGTGCAGCATTATCGCAGATTTGGCCCCATGTGAACTTGTGGAGCTCCGTGGGACGTGGCCCTCTTCAATCATGTGCATTCGGGGCATTGGTCGTACCAGTACTGGTCGACAAGTTGGGCCGAAAGCCTACCGAATTCAGAGACGTGCCAGAAAATAAAAGCGCAGCGTGCTTGGGCCTGAGCGTTAAGACTCCAAGCAAGCCCTGATCAGGGTGCGGCTTAGGAATCAGCGTTGCAGGCATACATGGGCTTGTTGGACGTAGGACGTAGGACTTGTATGGACTTGTAGATGGCTGTTGAGCGTAAACGGAAAGTTCCGGCATTCACGCGAGTCCCGGACGCCCGATACGAAAGGCCAAAGCCCTTTTTCTAGGCAATCGGTCAGGAAAGCTTATCCCCGGCGAACTTACTACCCGAGACATCGTCCTACTTAGCATATGGTACGTATTTGGAAAAGGGGCGACTTATGGTGTTGTTACAAAGGTGTTGCCGGGTTTGTATAGATTTGTCTAGGTGTTCGGATTTGTTTATTGCCACACAGTGTGGGGCCCTGCTACGAATCTAGGGCGTCCGGGGTTGGCAAATTGTCACCACGGAGAATGGTCCATCGGATTGTTCAGCGGCCAATACGCAACGTGAGTGGGTTTAGACCGTCGTGAGACAGGTCAGTTGCACCCTACTGATGAGCGAGATGCGGCGACAGTAGCTGAAGTCAGCATGAGAGGAACACTTCGTTCAGATACTTTGCTTAATGTGGCTAGCTGAAAAGCTAATACCACGAAGCTAGCATCTGTTGGATTGCAACTGAAAGCCTCTATGTCGGAATCCATGCTGGCGAAGCAGTGTTGCCCACCCACCACCCTCATTGCAACATGCCAACGCTTTGGCTCTAGCGCATGCCAGCCTCCATCGCCGCTAAGGGTTCTGGGGTGAATGACAGCTTCATGCAGTGGGAGCGATAGATCTTGTGTAGACGATTATGCGAATCCAGGTAGTGTAAGGGCTGAGAGGATCCTTTGTGATTGATACGATGACTTTTCGCCGCCTCACTTTCTGGGCGAAGGCTCGAGCATGGCTGTGAGCTATCGTTCAAACTTTGTTGCTGCGCGCGCAAGCTCTGTTCGCGAGGTGCAGACACTTAGTATTGACGAGCTGGAGGAGCTAGCAGAGAAACTCGCTGCCGCCGTGAAGGCCTGGCCACTGCATCTGTGCATGGATCTGTTGTGGTTGTAGGTTTGGGCATATGGGAGTTTCTCCAAAGCATGGGTACACAAGGGGTACGATTTGGCCCGCCGAATTTTACAACCCCCAAAACACGTCAGACATAAAAGCGAGTACCCCAAACCCTCAAACCATCAGACTTTCAACCGCTCTTCGACTCTTCGTTCAGACCCAGACTCTCCGTTCGTATGTAACCCGTTAAGGAATCCTTGAAGTAACCCCGCAAAAGTCCTAAACCTAAAACCCCGCAAGAATCCCCAAAGCCATCTGCCGGACAGGAGGATGAGGCCAACAAGGGTGGCCAAGAATGCAAAGGCTGTTGGGTTTTGGGTTCAACATAGAAGCCTGAGGAATTGTTCATCGTGTCCGGTAGGGTTCCTGATCAGGACTAGGATTCTAACGGAATATACCTCGGAGCCTGGTCACAGTACCGCAACTTCGCGTATTCATTTGTTGCTTGAAGGTATAGCGGCAGCCGTAACGGAGCTGCAACGGGAGGTGTAACTACAACAGATGTAGCGGGAAGTCCCTGCAGACACGCTGCAACATTCCCCGGAAGTGTAACAGCGTGGCTTACGGCACTGTTACAACCCCTTAAAACTTTTGACAAAAATGCTATAGTAAATGATGTTAGAGTCCTGGTAGAGGACGGTAGAGGCTGAGAATGCGCCAAACCCTAAACCTTTAAACCCGGTAGTGCTGCTTTCTCACCACCTGAGTTTCTTTTGTTACTAGTACTTTGTACCCCTGGATCACAACGGGACCCATAGACGCTCCGAGAGGATCGACGCCGCCACGAGACTTGGCGCCGCTCTTGGGTCTGGGAGCGAAGAGGGTCTTCCTCGCCTTCAAGTGCATACGTCATGAAGATGAAGAAATGCTTCAGATGTCGATGGAGAAGAGGAGGAGGTTGTTGCTGTGCCTGATGGCGACGCTGATGACGGATCAGAAAATCACCAATGCGATCATGGTTTGTCATCATAATGTCCCGGCAGTACCTGCCAGCGTAACTCTTTTGCTGAGCTGCCACGATGACCGCGGGTACGAGTTTTGACGAAGAGAGTGCGAGGACGATGATGATGCTGACGGTGACGGTGATCATGATGAAGAAAATGATGATGATCATGCTCATGATCGTGTTGTTGATGAGGACGATGACGGAAGAGGCCCCTTGCTGCTAGTGATGATCGTGCTGAGACGACTAATTATGATGAAGTGGATGTGGTCGACCAGAGGAACAACGATGATTCCGATGGCTGGGCAGAAGATGACGATGAGCCGTAGTAGTACGAAATCGCTGACCATATCGGTACGACGATGACGATCTTCATGACGAACAACGCGCACATGCGAAACCGACGGTCTGACGACTGGTCGTAGTCCTGTTCATCGTATTGTTATTATTAATGTTGTTGCCGTGCTTGTGTTGTTTGTTGTTGGTGGTGGTGTAGGTGTTGGTGTTGGTGGTGTTGTTGTTGTTGTTGGTGGTGGTGGTGGCGGCGGTGGTGGCGGTGGTGGCGATCGTGTTGGCGATGGTGTTGGCGATGGTGTTGTTGTTGGCGCTAGCGGTGGTCTTGTTGCTGCTGTTGCTGCTGCTGCGGCTGCTGTTGCAGTTTCGTTGGTTCTTATAATCATGCTGTTGTTTTGGACCTTATGCTGTTGGTGATGATGACAAGCATGACGAATCCTTTCAACCAATGTTGAAAGCTGACTTTTGTTGATGGCTTCGACGATACGGAGACGTTATCCGCAGAACATCTAATCGACAGTGCGTGAGCGACCGAGGCCGCTCAAGTTCATCAAGAGACAAATCTGAACCAAGTGGGGGCCCTGCGACTGTTGTTCCATTATGGCAGCCTGAGGTTAAAGGGTTGGGGCTTGGACTCTTAGAGTCTAGAGAGCATTTCCACCTTCGAAGCTTCTGTTTCTGGGAACCAAAGACTCGCGCGGCAAATTTCGCGCCCATCGGCTTCTTGCACGCTGTTCTACGTCCTGCACTTCCACAATCCCTGAGCCGTCAGCCTCGCCCACCGTAGTTTCGACAATCACAAGCTGCTACTTGTAACTCCCACTATGCTCAGGGTTGAAAGTCGCAGGAGTCGGTTCTCATGGGTAGTTAGATGCAGGGCCGCATACAACTTGTCTGGCACACGAGCAAGCCGATTTGCAAAAAACGACACGAAACGTAGACGGGGCCCTGACCTCCGAGTCGTCTCATTCAGTCCTGCATGGGTATAGATTCCTAGCAACTTGTTTAAAGAAGTGTAGGTCGACGCTTCAAAAAATTAAACCCCCGAGGCTGGAGTCTCCAGCTTCAAAGGCTGTAGTGATAGCAACAGTGTGGCTGAAGATTGTCTCGCCCGATTAGTGTTTATTTGCTTCTCGGGTCTAGGGTCATCAGTACGGTATGAAGTTGGACATGCACAGAACGCGGCCAGACGCGGCAGGAGCAGGGCCTCGCTGCAGAGGAACTGGAGCCAAGTGAGTCTGGACCTCGCTTTTTTTGGAATGCGCGAGGGTCGAAGGTTTAGGGCCGTTTAGGGTTTACGGTCTTTTGAAATTGGGGGTGTAGGGTTTCGGTGTCAGGGTTTAAGAAATTTCAATTTGTCGCTTGGTAGAGTCAGAGTTTCGGGTGTTGGTATGCTAAGTGTTCAAGAGTTGCAGAGTTCAGCCTCTGAGCCCGTACCCAAGCCAGAAATCCTGGACTCTCCCGAGCCTCCAAGCTCCAATCTGACATGCGGGGGTTAGAAGTGATAAGTTCTTGTCAGGCTTGTTGGTTTACCAATGTTTACTCCATGTCTGGGAGAAAGTCGGGACGTCTTCACAGGGTTTCGGGTACCCTGTAAGGAAATCAAACCCCATATCGCTCTTCTAACAGGATCATGCTTCAAGAAGGACCCACATCGGAGTTACGCTCAATAGAACGATCCGTGCACATTCAGCAGCGTCTCGCGCAGGTCTGACTGAGGTGAGGCCCGAAAGCGCCACCTTCCAAGCGTACGAATCAAGTCATCATCAATGCTAAGCATAGACACTAACTTCAGACATGAAGCCGAGAATCCTAGCCTAGACATGAAATCAGTCACCACCTCCTGCGCTGATGCCCCACACTGGCAGAAGCCTAGCTCTTGCGCTGAGGAGCCCTCGGCCTACAGGCGGGTCCGGTGGCGGGTGTCGGAGAGAGGTTGAGCCCAACGAAGAAAAATCTGAACTACTGCACAAACACGTGAAGTCCTGTTTGTGGGTACTCCGCCTTCCTAGGCCATGATTGTGAGCCTCTTTTCTCGTCTACCGTAAACCTTTCAGCCTTCAGCCGTAGACTGTCAACTCGTAAAACCCGAATCTGCCAATGCCTGAAGTCTTAAAGCCCAATATGACCGACCGCAAAATCATGACCCTACATCTCCTGAAGTTTTGAGTGTCCCCCAGATCCTTCAATGAATGGCCTATACTCTTGTGGACTCTACCGCCCTACTGCACTTCCCGAGCCCCACGGAGTCCGGAAGAACAAACTCATGCCGACAACTTATGCATCCCGAAATCCTACAGCCTGAACATCCTCAACACAAGCCCTCACACCGAGAGATTTTGGGCTTTTTTAAACAGAAAGCACATCCTTCGATTCCGGAATCACCGAAAGCATCCTCAAGGACGCCCTCAACCGTGCCGTCCTCAAGGATATCAACCCTATTCTCCATGAGCTCTGCCAACCCTCTCGCACCCATCAGCTTTCGGCTTCCAATACGGGACCCAAATTGAAGCAAGCGTAATCTGAATTTTGATAGCAGATCCTACCTTGGACAATGCAGCCCTCTCCCTCTCCATAGAAACTCATAGCCCGGGGCGAGGGGGGGGTGTTCTACAAGACCCAGAAGCTGAAACCGGAAATCCTACACCCGAAACCCCAAAACAGAGGTTCAGCAACAACAACAACGAAGTCTCACACCCCAAACCCAAGGATGCATATCCTATCCCCAAAACATCCAAAAGACTTACACTTTGCCAAAAAAATCCAAGACCCTGCCATGCAGGCAGTCTTTTTCCTTCTCAGCTCGGCCACGGAGGACGATCATACATGCATACATGTATGCATCCATGCACCCAGCCAGCCAGCCATCCACCCACCCATCCATCCAGCCATCCATGCATGCATGCATACGTACCTATATGCATATGTCGGACATGCACACCTACATACATGCACACATACATGTATCCATACTTGCATGCATGCATTCACACACACACACATATATGTATGTATGTATGTATGTATGTATGTATGTATGTATGTATGTATGTATGTATGTATGTATGTATGTATGTATGTATGTATGTATGTATGTATGTATGTATGTATGTATAATATATATATATATATATATATATATATATATATATATGTGTGTGTGTGTGTGTATCCTGTATCTTATGTGTATATAGATATACACACAGATCGTACACATTTACATATACATATACATGTATATATGCATGTATACATACCCACAAATGCATAGAGGCATATACATGTACATATACATATACACGTATGCATGCATCGCCTCATCTGAAGATTGTCACATGTTCGGTCTTTTGGGCGCCGGGTTTTAGGAATCTGCGAAGTTGCTGGTGACGGCGATGACCATAACAAAGATGCTGTTAAGGACGATGATGACGATTATGTCCATGACCATGCTGATGATTGGCTGCTGATGATGATGATGATAATGATGTTGATGTTGATGATTATGTTTTGCTGATGCCAGCGTTTACACTGGTTCTGGCCTGCCTGGAACTATCGGGACTACGATGTTCTGTTGGATAGTGTTTTCAAAATTGCCGTGCTCTCTGCTCTTGCCTCTTGCTGCTGAAATGCGCGGGCCTGTGTGTCTTAAACCTTCTGTCATCGTCTCTCCGGAAATCGTCGCCACTTGCTGAAACTGTCAATGTTCGCCCTTGTCGTCGTAATAGTGGTAGTCGGAGTAGGAGTCGTTTAGTCCTAGCAGCCTCTGTTTGCAACAGCTTGTGTTTCGATGCTGCTACGAAGAGGCTTAAACAATGAGTGTCACTTGTACCGCTGCGGGTGAGAGATCATCGCCTCTGTAAGGGACTTTTCGTTTGCGCGTTGATCGCTTCCGCAAGGAATTTCACAGATGCCCCCAAGTGTCTTGGCCGCGTGTTTTCGGCAAGTCAGCATGCTCATGCCGCTGAAAAGGATCCAACGAGGTCTACTTGTGATTTGCACCATGTGTTAGCATGCACATACTTCCGAACAAGCTAGCGGCAGACCGCGCAGCTGACACTTTGAAGACTTTCCCTAAAGCTGCGATGTGTGAAAAACGAGAGCCCTATCCCTAAATGGTTTGGGGTCCGGGGCATTATCCCCAAACCATGAGTCATTGCTGACATGATCATTGGTAACTGTTGGTGCCCAGGAAATTCACCTGGGTCTACACGCCCTAGCAGTCCATCACCAGAAGGCACCCGATCATCTGGACACTTCCAAGCAACGTGTATACCATATTGCTGCTCGCAGATCCTTGAGAACTATCATCTTTATGTTGCGTGTCAACCCTGGTTTTTCAGTTTCAACGCATTGTACCTTTAGTTTATGCCTGTACTTCGCTTCGGTGACTGATTGACCGTGGAACCTTCCTACTTGCTCCTTCTGCTCTACATTGCAATCTCTCAATATTCCGTGCTCTTCACTTCTATTCGTCACGTCGGTGGCATCGCATTCTGACTTGTGTTCTCACTGTCACTTGACTTCAGATCTCAGGCTGGGTTTACATTGATAGCCAGCATCATACTGGTGACATGCCGTCGTAAGTTTAAACCGGTCAGCTCTTCTGTAGCTATGGTCTGCGAGTGTTCACATCACACATTTATGGTACCAATGACATTATAGAACTAATTACTGGTTTAGAACCCTACGTCTTCCTGTGGAAAATTGCTGCACTTCGCCAGCAAAACGGCACTACATCCTACAGCAGACTACATCACTGGCTGACTACTGCTGTGTGCTCGCACCGAGTACACGGCTTCGTACCTGCTAGCTTGCGATTGCTACCTCCACCGTTTACCACTCCCACTCCCACTACCAATGCCACTACTAACTACTGCTACTGCTACTACTTACTATTCTGCTGCTGCTGCCACTACTACTACTACTGCTACTACTACTACTACTACTACTACTACTACTACTACTACTACCATTACCACTACCACTACCACTACCACTACCACTACCACTACCACTACCACTACCACTACCACTACCACTACCACTACCACTGCCACTACTAGTAGGATGCACCCGCCTGTATCGGACCTGGAGTTTTCATGTGCTCCGGACTGAATTGAGTCATCAGGTTTGAGCACCTCTACGATCCCCGAGGAGCAGAACGACGAGGACAATTTAGGGTTTGGGGGTTTCGGGTTTAAGGTTCAGAAGGTGCAGAGTTGCGGGTTTACAGGTTTATGGGTCGTAGCGGAGCTGAACAATAGGGTTCTGTTCAGGTTTACCTGTCGCCCCAAATCCAAACCCTTCGAATAATTTCGAGCCCGAAGACGCGTTCGAACAGAACCCTTCGGCAACCCCTCTAATCCAAAATCAGAACCAACCCTCGTCGTACCTTCGTGCGGGAAGGGGTAAGACCAGTGCCATTTTCTCTTAAGATTCGACCGCTTGCAGTACCCTGAATCACCCCAAACCCTAAACCGTGAGCTGATTGGCGGGGCGAGCGGAGCATTCCCAATTAAGGGCTCTGCAAAAATTCGGGTTAAGGGTTGGGGGTTAATCAGGGTTTTAGGATAAATTCTGATTTTGACCGCTTTGCGTCGTCCCCCTCGGGCCAGCTGCACTTGAAGCAAGTGCATGTTCGGGAAAGCAACAGGTACACAGGAGAGGCCGTGAGTGGATGAGTGCATTTGCTTCAGTGTTTCTTTAACGTCAGTATTTGTTTTCATGCTGAGGCGCTGGGCAACTAATCCCACGCGAAGGTGGCACCTTCCGTGCATTATCCCATAGACGTTACTGTAAAAAACCGTATCACACTTCTCCCTGGGCTCGGATACAACCTCCTATATGTCGGAACTCAAAAACCTCCAACAACGACATGTACGGGGAATCAAGCTTTGCAACAAAGTACAAAGCAAAGGTCCAAGTTAAGTACGTAAGAGCTGGCTATTAATGCCAGGTGAAGTTCCCGGAATCTTCAGGTCCTGTAGCTGCACTAAGCCACGAAGCTCTGTTGTTTCGGACGGCTCGCTAGCGCCCATACCCCTTCTTCGACTGCTTCTGCTGTTGCTGTTGCTACTGCTACTCTCCTCCTCATACTCCTACTCCTCCTACTCCTAGTACTACTACTGCTACTACGACGACGACGACAAGATTTGCGCCACCAGGTGTGCTCCATCTGCACGTACGACTGGGAGGAAATCCGTGTTGGATCGTCAGCCTCAGGTTTGACAGGGCTTAGACTTAGAAGGCTTCTTCTTCTGAGGGTTCCTAGAAACCTTCAAGGGTTTCCACAACAAGCATTTGTGTTATCCGCATGCATAGCCTGCATAGCTCCAGGTGGAGGAAGGGCTCTGGGTGGGGAGTTCCAGCTTGGGGCTTCGGGCTGCCAGGGTCCAAGTCAAAGCGCGGATCGCCGGGGTTTCCGGTTTAGGGGTTCAGCGAAATGACGGCTAAGGGTTCAGTGGTGCAGGTTCTGGGGTTTGGATGTTTAGGGATGAGGTTTTTTCAAACACTAAACCGCCAGACCAAACCCTAGTTCCTGCACTGCCCCAGCTTACTGTGTTTTGTAGTGTCGACACGTACCGAGAGACCTCGTCTGGCTCAGCTCCGAGTTGCGAGTGTGTAAACCCTAATCCCTGCACCCGGAAACCCAAAAACAAAAACCCCTGGCCCCTGACACACTCCCAATCCGCTGAACATAAAGCCAGAAAAGCTCCAAACTCCAACCGGAGGACTTTTGCGATGGTAGCAGCCCGGAGCCCCAGAAATTGAGATTTGTTGATGCTGTCCTTTGGAGGATATAGATTTGAATGTAGATAAATAGAAATAAGAACAAAATAGACAATATATTATAAGAACAGATACATGAAAAGCAAACTATGTGTGTGTCTCCTAATTATCGGTCTGGTGGGTAGGAATTAGGAGATCAGTTTCGCGATCGTTGGAACAGACTTGATCTATCTTCTCCGTGGCCATTTTGGCGATAGCCGATCGGGCCATACCGAAAAATAAGTTCGGCGTGGGAGGAACAGGATAGATCGCTCCAGTGCAGCAATGTCGTTCCCTCCCGCTGGCTTCGCTCAAGGTCGGCAGATGGCGGCCCCGGTGGCTCCCCAGTTCGGGTTGCCTCGCCGGCTTGGTCAGCCTGAGAATCCGGGAAACTGGGGATTCTATACTCCAGGCGAGGCAGAGGCTCCCGAGAATCCCGCGGCTCCAGCTGCCGCATCCGGCGATTGGGGCTCTGGAGGCTGGGGTCGCGACGATCGTCGTGGACGCCGTGACCGTGGGGCTCCCGCTGCTCACAACCCCTTCGCTGTTCAGCGGCCTGGGTTCGTTCGCCAGCTCGTGGTCGAGGAAGAGGACGAGACCCAGAACTCGCTCCTCGTCATCGACAACCGCGATGACCGGGTGATCTCCCCGTTCCAGAACTGGCTGGCCGAGGAGATCATCTCGAATGCCGTTAGCTCGATCAATGTGCTGACGGAGCGGGACTCGGTCATGCCCCCGAACTCGGGCTACCACTGTTCGCTGTTCGCGAACTATACACTCGATGGCATCAAGGCAGTTCTGCTCTTTTCGATGTCTTCGAGGACAGGGGGACCATGTGCTCAGTGGGACTCCTACGCGAGTCGGGCGCTATCGCACCCGGCTTTCCAGCCCTTCACTTGGCCGGTGATGTTCGATACCTCGGCCACTTATGTGGATGTGAAGGTCTTCAATGGAAACGAGGTCCTGTTCCATTGGGTCTTCAGGGGCTACCGCTCGGACTCGGATCTTTCTGTCCAGCAGCAGTTCTGTGACGAGGTGTTGATCCGGTCAGCCAACGAAGGATGGTTCCGACCCTCGATCGTCATCTCGGTCTTCGTTGGATGGAAGGTCTCCGTGACCTCGTTCGAGGTTGGAGCCCGAGTCTACACGATCGGCCCGAGAGGAGCAGTGATGGCGAGCGACCATGCCATGAGCACTTGTGAGCTCAGGGTGACAGAAGGCTCGTCCCGAGAAGGCTATGGGAACGACGCCGATCGTGTTGAGTTTCGGTTCCGGGACGCCAATAACCGGATCGATCTCAAGTGCGGGAGGACTTCGGTGCCTGGCACGTGGCTCACAGTCAGCCACATCTCGGGCCCCGCTCTGATCAACACGATCCAGGCCTGTCGGAACCAGCGTGCTCGCGTGGAAGGTCCAGACCACATCCAGCAGTTCGCTCAGCTGTCTGCGGTGATCGCCCCCTGGTACCACAGTGCGTTCGCCAACGAACAGGGGCAAGTGGGGACTGCGACAGACGAGTTCCCGATGGATCATGGGAACTTCCACGTACGGGCTAGATCTAAGCTCAGGGTCTGCCCACTGGAGTTCGTCCGCAGGAGGCGCTCGCCCACCGGTCGCACGATGAGAACAACGCTGTTCGAGCTCGGAATGGCCCCCCGGCTCTCATGGAAGAGGCGGCTCGGCAACATGCCCACCTCGGCTCAGCAGGTGTTCGACCAGAGGGTGAGCATGTTCCGGTGCCGGAGGAGGGCCAGCTCGGCCAGGAGCAGATTGCCGAGGAGGTCGTCACCGATGCCCGCGATCGCATGAGGGCCGACATGCGATTCTCGCGCACGTCGGCTGCGATCACGCCTCAGGTTTTCACCGACGTGCTCCAGCACCGTGAGCAGGCGGAGTACGAGCGGATCAGCACGGTCAGGGTGGAGGAGACGGGCCAAGAGATCACGGCTTCCCCCTCCACTACGACCACGGTGCCGAAGGCGTTCGCCCCGGCTTACCCGCCGGCCAGATCGTCAACGGGGCCCTACACGATGGACAATACGGAGTAGTTGTCGATCGAAGCCTAGGTGATGGTCGGTTTTTGTGCACGCTCCTAAGAGAGTGGTGCGCCGCGCGACCGAAGCCTCCTGGCGGATCAGCCGGGCTCTTCCGCGGAACAAACATGCCGAGCGATCCTCTCGGCGCGCTAGATCCCAGCGCATGTTCTGCCGGAAGTGAGATTGATCAATACCTGTCTCAGGCACGGCGCTCGGTTACCATTAGCAGGCACGTGCGATCGTTCGTGCAGCTGTTCAGGCCCAGCATGGATAGGTCCGTTCGGAAGATCCTATCCCTCCCCCTGTTCGGGGATGAATTTTGCCAATGGTTGGTGGATCTTCGGATGGCTCAGTTCGAGAAGCTCACGGCTGTTTCGGACGGGACGATCGCTGAGTGTGTGCAAGCATTCATTGATCTTGTCCCTGCCCTCGAGGAACTCCACACGCCAGATCGGCGGAAGAACGAGGAGGAGCTCGGCAGGTGGGTTCCGTCGATCGAGCTGTTGTTTGTGCTGGTTCGTAGCACGGCAGCAGCGGGCTGGGCTGATCTGGCCACTGATCTGGGATTCGGCTTGGCTGAAGCTCCGGTCGTCTTCGGGCGATCGCCACTGAAGTCGAAGGGGACTGGCAAGGAGCCTCCTATGCCATTGCCGCTCGCCAAGAGGCCGCGGGCGATCGAGCCGAGGCCTGAAGATCCGCAGGCATCGCTCAAAACCCGTGAGCTCGGCGAGGCCCGAAAGTGGGGCATGAGGCTGAAAGCGATCGTGGAGAGGTGCGGCGAGCACGCCTCGATCGCGGGCAACCCGAAGCCGGGATCACCCCTGTCTCAAGATGAGATGAATGCATTGAGGTTGATCGTCTTCGAGAGTGGCGGTTTCCGCACTATCCAGCAGTGCGTTCGTCACTGGGAGAGGATTGAGACTTGGGCGAGGTCGCAGAACCTAGTGATGATCCCGCTGACTACCGACGTGCTCGTCAAGTACCTCCTAGATCTCTCCGACCGAGGTTGCGGCCCCACCGTGATACCTTCGGTACGTGGGGCGGTCAAATGGATCTGCAAGATGGCCTTGCAGAAGAAGGTCTACGGCGATCGCGGGAAAGAGACGAGGGAAGCGGTTCCCATCCCTCTGATCTTGGTGGCGGCGCTCGAGCGGTTCGTGTGCGCTCGTTTTAAGTCGAGCCAATTCCCCATGGCGTTCTTCGCATGGTGGGTTCTCGTGATGATCTACTCGTCCCTCAGGTTCGACGACGCGCTCCACGTCGTGCCCGAGGCGCTCGCCCTGAAGGACGAGGCTCTCTATGGGGTGGTTTGGCAGACTAAGGTCGAGCGACAAAAGAAGGGAACGCGGTTCGCGGCGGCCAGAGTCTCCGTCTCCGGATCCGACTGGATGGAAGACGGATGGCACGCAGCTGCGTTCGAAATGGACGATCGCGACTACTTCATGAAAGAGCTCGAATCGGCTGAGCGATTCGCCGATCGGCCTGCCAGCTACCAACGGAGCATCCTGTGGCTGCGGTACGTGCTCACTACTGCAGCTTCGGACGATCTGAAGCGCGGGCACATCTCGCCCGAGCGGCTCAAGGAGCTCCTGAAGATCGTGCCGGAGATCACCTGGCACTCCTGCCGAGTCACGCTGCTCTCGGCGGCGGTCCAGGCGCAGGAGCCCGATAAAGAGATCGGGCTCCAAGCGAACTGGAAGGATCCGAGCCAGCTGGTCCTGAAGTACGCTCGGAGCCGCAAAGAGATCTCGATCGAGATGGTCAAGCGGCTCACGAAGAGGATAGCATCCGACTGGAAATCTCCACCGGAGTTCGAGGCCGACGATACCAATCTGGTCGACTTCGGTGATCTCGCTCTGACCTATGTCACCAAGGCTAGATCGGCTGCGGGGTCCTCAAAGGATCTGAGTCTTAAATATCATGCCATGTATATAGATGGTACGGGCACGGAGCGAACGCTCTGCGGCCGGTACGCGATCACCGAGTGCGAGGATCTCGGCGAGATTCCGCCGAGTACTCAGATGTGCTCGTTGTGTTCCGGTAAGATCTTTACGGAGCCGTGAACACAGCTGTTCGCAGTCACGATGGCCACTCGAGCTGAGCCTCTCCCTGACCGTAGCTTTTCTTTTCAGACAGCTCGTTAGGCAGCCATGGTCGATCGCACTGCATACGCGAATGAGGCGGCGACCCCGAAGCTGAACCTGCGCCAGATCTTCGGGAGACAGGGGCTAGATCCAGCCCTCTGCAGGCTCTCGGCCGACAAAGGTCTCCTCACAGTCGAGATGTTCGCAATGCTGGGGCAGGATCTCACCTCGGCGAAGGCGACAATCCGCCGGCTGTGGCAAGATGACTTGACCCCGCTCGGGGCTGATGCGGCAGCACAGGAGCTCTCCGTGATGTCCTTGGCAGCGGTGTGGCAAGCTGCTCAAGCGCTGCAAACGCAATACGCCTCTCGGCGAGCTCGTATGGAGGAAGACCCGAACAAGATCCCGGAGCTCTCCCAAGAGGACCACGCGGAGTTTCGCGATCGCTTCGTGAGGGTTCACCCCGACGTCATCCTGATCGACGCCAAAGAGCCGCATAAGAAGTTCGTCGAACGGCTGTCCCGCGATTTCCTGATCCATGGGATAGTTCCATTCTACGAGCCGGCCGAGATCAGGACCCGCTCGGATGTTATAGTGGTCAAGTCTGGACTTTCTCGGAACGCCGAAGATCTCCTGTCCATCTCTAAGGCTGATCAACCCGAGCCGGTCACCGATGTCACGACTCTGTTCAACCGTCTGCATGCTTTCTTCATGGCGCTCGAATACCTCAACATTTGCGCGTTCTCACGCGCCGAGGGCCCGCTGAAGTACTTGCAGGAATTGGAGCAGTTCCGCTCGGAATGTCCCGGCTTGCCATTCCTCATGGCGGCGGACCGAGCTATCCGGAAGAAGATCTTTCGCC